TAAAGTTTTTATACGATTTTTTTTCCTTAGAAATAACGTATCATAATAGGATACGGGAAAATGCACAATTCCGTATCACTAAAAATATGGTTTGGATACGGAATTTGCACGGGATTTATATGGAATTTACATGATTTGATCACTGATTTTATCACGAAATTTATACGATTTGGTCACTGAATTTACTATTTGTATTACAGTTTACTATAATTGTATTTACATAAATCTAATTTTACTTTGTTTATTTTTTATTTTTTATTTAATTTAATAAAGTACAAATACATTATGAAAATTCCCTCCTTATTAAAACCACCTATTGCAACCAAAATTATCTATAAGTTCGGGTTCATTTGGAGTCAAACAACCTAAAAGAACAAAAAAAAAAGATTGGAAACAAAACCCCCCCTCATATAGTATCTGCAATCGTCCAAGTCACCAAAGGTCAGCATTCCTACAAAAAAAGAAAGAGAACTCCAGAATGTCTGACCTACATAAAAGAAAAGAATTATAAAGCGTCTGATGAAAAAGAAACCAAAACAACAAAATAAATCCAAAACTGACCTACAAAAAAAGAAGACTCTGAAGCAACAAAACTGAAACAACCTACAAAAAGAAAAGAATCTGAACCCAACTTACAAAAAAACAAGAAAATTTGAACTGACCTAAAAAAAGAAAAAAATCCTGAATCATCTTAAAAGAAAAAAACTCCCAAACTGATCTACAAAAAAAGAAAAAAGAAACTGAATATTCTCACAAAAAAAAATCTGCTGGCCTATGAAATTAAATATAAATAAAAAAGAAAGGGGAATAAAGAATAAACCAAAAAAAATATTTTTTTAAAAAGAGGGTAACGAAGTTAGGAAAGTTAAAAAAAAATTTTTTTTTAAAGGGAGGACGTCAAAGTTAGAAAAATAAAAATTTTTTATAAAGAGGAAATAGAAATAGAAAGAAGAAATTTTTTTTTAAAAAAAAAGAAGAGTGGGAAATAAAAGAAAAATTTTTTTTTTAAGGGAGTGATGAAAAAAAATTTTTTTTCAAAGGAGAGTGACGAAAAAAATTTTTTTTTAAAGTGAGATACGAAAAAAAAAATTATTTTTCAAAGGGGGTGACGAAGAAAGAAGAAAAATTTAGAAAAAATAACAAAAATAAGACAAGAGAAAGAGAAAGGAAAGGAAAGACAGAAAGGAAGATCGGAAGATCAAACTCATCAAAGTAAGGGTTTATATAAAAACAAAAAACGTATCATAACAAAACAATAATCAATCATGTGATCTCGTGTTATGATACGGGATTTAAGTTTAAAAATTCCGTATACATTCCGCATGATTAATTTTTTCCGTATACATTTCTTATACATTAGCTTTTTTAAAAAATGTTCAAAAATGAATTGCTTATTAAATATACGGAATTTGTATACGGAATCTATAGAAACGTACAAAAAATGTATACAAAACGTATCCTTTCCGTATACATATTTCTTATAGGGTGACAATAGGAAAATAGATTTTTTTATTCTAATTATTATCCTTTTTGGGATGATAATACTCTAAATCATTATAATTAAAACTGTCTTCTACACATGAAAATGATTTTAAGTTTTTCGATTATATGATTCGTAATGAAATTTGTGCGACCATGTTAATTAACATTTTTTGTTTTTGATAGGAGATTATTTTGAAAAGACGTATAAGATAATCGATCAGATCTATTATTATCAAGCTTAAGATAAATTTAGACCCTTAATAAGATAATTTTAGAAATTCTTATTGGAATATTGGATTTCTTTTTTAATTGTCAATCATAACTCAAATCACCTACATTATTGATCATTTTTATCAAACAATTATAATTCCATGGTTTTTATTACCTAAATTCTAATAATAATTCTTTATTATTATTATAATATAAAAATATAATTAAATAAAAAAAAGAATAAGAATTCATAGAGTAATTATTTTCCAAAATAAAATAATATATAAATATCATTATTAATATAGAAACTAGCTTGAAAGGCCATTTTAAAGTTGGTTATGAAAAGTTGTTTCAGTTATTAACAGTTAAACTAAAAAAAGATAATAATTATGTATAAATTGTATATATGACTTTAAAAAGTTGATAATATATTTATTAAGAAAATTTATTATTTGTTAATTTAGGAAATGAGAGCAAAAATGAAATAATTCAAACATATATTGAGTATTAAAATATTTATAAACATGTCAAATTTTTTTTTAAAAAAAAGTATCATTTTACGACTTTCTTTTTACTCAAATTTTTATATCCCAAAACCAAATCTAAAAAATACAAACATGCTCGACATGCACAAAGTTCATATAATGTGCAATGGAGTTGGGCGATGATGGACGAGTTAGTCGATATAAGACGAGAATTAAATAAATTCATAATTTTAACGTCTATTTTAAAAAGTTTTTAATGATGACTATCTATAAATTTTCTAAAAAATTATTACAAAAAAAGACATTATTAATTGACTATATAATAGAATATATTTTATACCCACCAATACATATTTATACAAAATTCAGTTTATTACCAGGACCATATTAAATCATTTCCAATAAAATTAACAATATTCTGGGAACTGATTTAGACACTATAAGTCAAATTTTTGATAATTAAAATAAATTTATTATATATATGTCCTTGATTATTTTCATGCTTTTTAAGTTTGGCCTTATAACAAACTATTTCACTTTATTATTAACTTTATTATTTTTTATATATTTTTTTTCAATTAAAACAAATCCTTTCACATTAAATATACTTTTTTAAAAAAATTCTATTTAGAAATTCGCGCATTTTTATACTATAATTTTAAACTTTTTTAATAATATAACAGTTATTATCAAATCTTAAGCTCCTTATATCATATAGTTTTAAATTTTATAATAATAATATTATAATATTATAAACAACGGACAAACCCTTTTACAACATTTGACTTCAAGTAATTTTTTATAGTTATATAATAAATTTAGAAATATTAAAAGTCCACAAAAATGACCTTGAGTGTAGTCATAAACTTTACAATTTTTAAAAAAAAGTCAAAAAAAAAAAACTAATAAATCTATAAATCTATACATATGCAATTTATATTTTATATTAAAAAAAAAAAGATACATTTCTATATTTAGATAAAAAGATAACTACTACTTAAATAATCCCGAAGAATTAATCAAGTTTATTAGAAAATATATATTATTTTTATACTGTATATATGAATTTGAATAAGGAAGACCTAAAAGTTGAAGCTTTTTATTTATTTTTTCAACATTTTAATCTTTATAATTTATACTAAAAAAAAAAAAAAGTAGAAAAAATCATTAATATTTAAAGAAAATTAACATTGAAAATATCATAATAATTCATTAGAATAAAATCAAGAAAAAGGAAGTAATTTCGACATATTTCTATGATTGGATTATTAACATTCTTAATTAAAGTTAATATACTACAATCCACAACACAAATTATGAAGAACCAAAAGATTTAATACAACTAGCTATAAATTCTATAAATATAAATAATTTAAAATTTGTTAATATTAAAAAAATTGAGATACAACTATAATAATACAAAGATATTTCTTTCAATTGGATTTAATATATGACGATAGTACCTTTTCACTTTCTACAAAAAAGGTACCACACATATATATATATATATTCTTATTTCACCAAAAAAGATACTCTTTATATAGGCATTAAAATAGAAAAAAATTTGAACGAACTTAATAACTTATATTTAATTATAAAAATAGTACTTATAGTATGCTCAATACAACCTACTATCTGATACAATTTTAACTAGTATTTAAAATCCAAGAAACTTATGGGCATTAAATACATCAATCATACATGGATCGATGCTAAAGTCCTGTGAAAATAATTATTTTAACCCTATATGTATGGTATGCCCCAATTGTGGACTGATGCATATTTATACCGGCCAATTGATTTAAGAGGATTTAGTGAGCCAGTCATATACCTACTTTTTATATAATAAAATATTGATGCTAAATTAAATCTTAAAATAAACTGAAATAAAAGAGCATTCTTAGCTTTCTATAATATAGTATTTCAAAATTAACTATTTTATTGAACCTTAGTAACTTAAACTGGGAAGTTACATAATTCTTATAATCAAATTAAATTTATATCTAAATAATAAATTCAATAAAAGTATCATAGTAACAAAGAAAGTTAAAATTAAAACTATTGGAAAATCAACATAAAATTCTGAATTTTTATACATTAGAAGATTTTTATATAGTGATATATAATATTATATATACTGTAAACTTATGTTCAACTATTTACTGATTTCAAAATACCGAAACAATTCTAAATTTTATATATCATAAAATTATATATGAGATTTGTTCATTTTGGTTAGAATCATTTTAGCGGTATATTTAATATTTACGATTTAATATTATCTTAAACCAAAATTATTGCTAGCTTATGGAATTACAGAAATCAATATAGTAGTGATGAAAAATTCATAAAGAACTTTTAGATGAGTTCTGGTTATTATTTATTATTTAACTTGAATTTTTCATTTTTTTAATTGCATTTATATTATTTATATTAATTAATTGCTTTGTTAAGCGAGAGCTCAGAATTCTCGAAAAGATGTGTGGTGAATAGACTGAATAGTCATAGATGATCAAAGTGAGATATCAAAGACTAGGTACAGAGGTACAAGGGATAATTTTTATTGACAATCAAATATTATGTAACCACATAAATAATTATGCAAAGAATTTTTTTTGTTTATAAAAAATTTTAATTTTAATTTTATTACTATTATTATTTCTTTATTATAAAAAAAAAAATAATAATAATTTTATTTTTTAATCATACAAATAACAATAATTCTATTAGAAATATTTAATTTTACTTATAACTCAAGAACAGGAATTTATTATATCATATATTTTTATTATTTAAAATAACAAGTGAACAAAAATCATTACTTTATAAATTAACACCTCTCCATCTTTCATCATTTTTAAATACAATAACCAAAAGTATAATACTAAGAATACTGAAAAATGCCATAATAGTATATGTAAAACCCATACCTATTAAATCTACAAGAGGATTAACTAATACTATTAAAATAGCAACAAAAAAATACGAAATAAAATCACTTAAAGCTAATGCTGAAGCACTTTTTCCTGGGTTTGCATCAATCAAATATGTTGAAATACAATTACTTTGACCTTGTAATCCAATTCCAGCTACAGGATATTTTTTTTTTTATTATCAAGTTAGCTTTTTTATTATTTTCACGATAAAAAAAAATTTACTGAAACTTTAACTTACCTATGAATGAAATTATCAGTGGTATTAAAATGTGAACTTTAATTTGAGTTAACCATCCATAAGTTACAATGAATAAAGGTACTATCAAACTTGAATAAAATGCCACGTAAATTCTCATTACAGGAAATCTATAAATGATATCTCTATTTTCTAATATTTCTTGCATAATTTCCGTAGTTTCTTCTTTCATCAGTCTCTTTTTTTCTTCTTTTTTCATTTCTCTTTCCTTCCTCGTTTCAACATCACTTTCATATCCCGCAAGGCGATCAGAATATATTCCAGCAATAAAACTACCAATCAAATAACCAACAGGAGGACTTATATAAGCAAATAAAAGATATAAGCTTGATACATTATAATAATAAGAAAACATTTTTGTGATTAATATACTTTGCGAATATATAACTAAATTAACTAATGATTTACTTAATATTGAAAATGTAATATTTAATTGTAGTAATAATTTAAATGGTAATAAAGGATTGTAAGATTTTTTTTGTGTAAATGATTTTGATTCTTCTGATGGTGATTGTGGATGTGATTCTCTTATAATTCGAATTATATGTGGTTTTGATGTAAACTTTTCCTCCGGTTCTCTAAATGTTTCGGGTAAGAATGACGTTATGAGTAAAAGCGTTGCACTTCCTAATATCGCTAATATATAAAATACCCAACGCCATCCCAATGAATTTGTTATTAAATCACCAATGTTTGGTCCGCTCGCAAGCGCAATGAAATATCCAACGAGATAAATGGCATACGCTTTTCCACGTTCTATAATTAAAATTAGAGAAAATAAATAAAAAAAGTAAAAAAAGCAAAAATAAATACTTAATAAAAGATCTTACCAGCCGGAATGAATACATCACTAACAGTTCCACCACCAAGACTAAGAGCAGCTGAAATTCCAATTGATTGTATTATCCCAAAAAGTACCAATATAATTGCATTTTTTGCAAATCCGCATATTATATTACTCATTGTATATATCAACAATGAAGCCAAATACACTCTTTTTCTGGTTTTAAGTTGATCTGAATATGATGACCAAAATATTGGCTTTTAAATATATATAAAAAAAAAAATTTTTTAGAAGGAATAAAACATTAAATTTATAAGAAACATTTAAACATCTTTTAAACTTACTGCTATTCCTCGAAAAATGATATAAATTCCAACTGTATTTACGTTAAATTAAATTATGAACAACATCTTAACATACTATATATACTATATATACGTTGTATTTCACCACAACATTATATTATTATTGCACTTACGTAACAAATTTATAATTATAGCAGTAGCTTCAAATTCTTCTTTCATATCTGATATCGCAGGATACAATGATCTAAAAAAGGTTCTTATCTATAACTAAATTCTTTATTTAATAGAACGTAAGTTACGAATAGGTCAACAAATTACGTACGTATTCGATAACGGAGTGAGAAATGCTGGTAAGGCTACGAGAAAAAGAATACGATATTTCTTTATGTATGGCCATTTTTGTGGATCATATAAAATTCTATGTGCTACATCTTCTGCCTCTTCCTCTTCTTCACTACTTGACTTTTGATGCGATACTTCACCTATATCAGTCATATTTTTGATAAAAGATTATATTTCAAATTTTTTTAAATAAAAAATAAAAAATCATTATAAAAAAAAATACTTTTCATTCTGACGATTGTGACGATAAAAAAATTACTAAGCCTCAATTTTATGGCTATATTTTAAGAAGCCACAAAATGTTGATCAAACATTTTAATTTGGAAAGGTATAGTTGATTTCCATTTAGGGCAAGGCTTAATAGGCGCAATCACGATTATTTGCAAGGAGCGTTACACGTTGCATAGTCTAATTTAACTTAATATAGTTAACTCTACTGTTGAAGTATTAGTTATACCACAGGCCCAGTTGTCAAGAGTATCTTAATTGATACTCAAATTAATATTGAAGATCAAATCATGTAATTTTTTGGTTGGTCAATTTTTTGAATGTAGAATCATAGCTATCAGCCGCAAAAGCGGCTGATACATATCGATAAATATACGCGTTTAGTTTTTTTACGTTCATTTTTCATTTCGTAATACATTAAAAAAAAAAAATGTGTAATGATATTATTCTTAAAGTATCCAACCTTATCGCTTTTATTTTATTGACAGCAGTAAAAGGTTTTACAACCTTTAATAATAAAGTAGCGAATAATGACTTTTTACTTGAAACATACAATAGTACTACGACATTCACAAATGTTTACCTTTTGCCCAAGCAATACACTTTTGGAATTTGGGGACTGATTTATATTTTACTTGCTGGGTTCGTTTTATATCAGCAGTGGACCGAAAAAGCAAATAATGTGACCATTCATGGAGTTTCATATCATTTCTGTATAGCCGCTACCTTAAACATTATCTGGTTAATTCTAATATGGGTAAGAGATTAATTTTTTTTTTAGAAAAAAATTTTATCATAATTCTTTATATTTACGGAAATATATATTTATTTATATATATATATTTTTCTAATAGTTTATACAAGAAAACGAAAAACTCTTTATTATTATAGATACTTTGGTCATTACAACCCTCTTCGTATTCTTATATTTTATATATGATAACTTAGAAGAACATTATCCTCCAGAAACACTTACAGATCGAATATTTGTTCATGCACCTTTTAAAATATATTTCGCATGGACTTTCATAACACTAATTATAAACTTTTGGATTGCAATTCCTACGCTCAATACAATTATAATATCAAGTATTACTCTTGTATACCTTGGATTTATGGGACTTTATTATGTTGATTATCGTAAAAAAGCCGACCTTTTTATTACTGCAACTATTGCTTGGGCACTTGTCGGTATCGCTATAAAGCATTATGAGATTTTGCCTATTTTAGCTGCTTCTTCCTTCTCTATTGGGATGATCTTGGGAGGTGTTCTCAGATATAATTATGATATTTATATAATTTATAATGAAAAGGGATTTTAAATTAATTTTTGTTTACACGTTTGTTTATTAAGAATTATTTTTAATTTTTAATTTTAAGAATCTTTATGTGAATTCTTTTTTCTTAAAAACAATTGATAATTTAAAGTATGTAATTTAGCGATATATTTTATAATTTGGTAGGAATTAGTATTATTTAGACATAATAAAATTAATTATAAATATTGTATATAACGAACGCGAGCGAAATTGCAAAAATAAAAAAATAAAAAGTTTTTTAATGGTTGGAATAAAATCCATTAATATATACGCTAATACTTGTATAATTTTAACTTTATAAAAGCTTTTAATGCGTATAAAACGTTCAATGGTATTGAGTTATTATATTAATCGTAAAAAATGATTTTTTTAAAGATAATTATATAAATAATTGATATGCACGTATGAATAAAAAATATAATTCAAGTAAAATGATTCATACCGGATAAAGATAATATACGCCAAATTATTTAATATGGAATCTTGTATGTTTTCATTTTAAGGACGCTATTATATTGTTTATTTTCAGTTACTTTCGTCTTTTAATTACATACTGTATAGTTCCGAAAGAGTCAAGTCGGGTCGAGTCGTGAGAAGTATTCGAACTCGACTCGAGTGTAAAAGTAGGAATGACCCGGATTCGACTTGACCTTATAGTCTGACTCGGATAACCAGGGTTCGACCTGTCAAGTTATATTTATCGTAGGGACGCCAGGTCAAAGTAAAGGTATGACATGTCGGGACGTCATCAAATCATGCGACCCAACCTGACCCCTAAATACGAGTCGGGTCAGTAACCCAGGTTTGACCCGACCCTTTGGAACGCTAATACTGTATAATTAATACTTCCTCTCAGTATCCTCTCCGTCGTTCAGTTAAAATAAATTTCTTTTTTTTGTAATTTTACGAGAATGATTAGCGTTATTTACTAACGAAAGACGAGTTGGTTAATAAACTTTTTGTTTACTGTTACTTTTATCGCGGTGTTTATTTTAATAATGGATATTCAAGAGGTATAATATTACATAATTTTTTCCTAAAATAAGAAAAGTGATAAAAGAAATTATTTACAACGTAATCTTTTCATCAATCATCAAACAATTACCATTGTACAGATTGTAGCGTAATTTGAGGTAAATTGAGATCTATTAATTGCGATAATGAAAATTATTTTTATTATACAATGTAGTTTAATTTGTTAAGAAAACAAACCATAAATTAACGTTATAATATAATTAAATCGTTAATAACAGAGAATTATTTTTCGTAAAACGATTCTAACTACCAGTATTTGCTGCTACCAAGTAAGATGGTATTACGAGTTTATAATATTATCGTATATTTTGTGAACTCATCGATTAAAAAAGTTATCGTCGAAAACGTACGTGAGAAGTAAGGTTAGAAATTTTTTATTTGATAACTCAGATTTCTACAATTAATAATGGTGTAATAACTAATACTCTCCTATCACTAATAAACGGAAACCGTTTGCGTAATCTGTTATAGGGCGTTTTTTCTCGGCAAGATTGTAATATAAAAAGTTTATCATTTTACTTTTAACTTTTAGTGCAAATAAATAGAATTTGATACAAATATACATTGCCCTTGTTATTCATTACCATAAAAATTTATTTTTATTTTATTTTTATTTTTACATTGAAAGGGCGAATACATTGTTTAGTTACTGACTAGTAACGGTATAAAAGCACTACTAAGTACTCAACTAAACTAGACATACAACATCCAACAGCTAAACTAATTGGACCCACCCTTCGTAAGAAGAACTAGAAGAACTGACGCAGTCAACAAACAAAGGGATTAAAAACTAAAGTAAAAATAAGGGGAGACGTACCGGGAAGACAATCAAATAAAAAAAAAAATTGTAAATGATCCGTATTTTTCTAAATACTGTCAGAGGTGAAATGGTTTTATTACCATAAAAAAAAAATCCATTTGTCAAACTACGAGAAAGCATGTGATATTTGAGCGCAATGACATCACTATCCGATCAAATTGCGGCCACAATCACATGATCACCCGTAAATACATCACAAAAAAGTAAAAAATAAATGAAAAGTATATATCATTAATATCATTAAAAAAAATGTATCGTTAAAGAAAAAATAAATAATAAAAAATGCAACATTTATCATGAATATTAAAGTACGTATTTAAAGTTAAAAATTTATAATCATATTCGTCGAGTTGAGAACTTTTGATTTATGATCTTCGATAAAAATTTTTCATACAAAAAAGTTATATTTTTTAATTACAAATTTTTCATTATGGAATGGTATTATATTTTTTAATTTACTTAATTAATAATCGCGTTACACCTGATCTTAAAATTTCATTAGCCTTTAACCCATTACAACCACTTTGACAGAGGAAATTGTATGATTTAATTTACTGTCCTCCGTGTCGCTTCAAACAATAAAATACTGATAACCTTAATTCGAGATTGAATTACTGTTATAGCAATTTCAGACCAATTATATCATCCAAGAAATTTTGTATTGACGTTCATTTCAAAATATACAAGATATGTATTTATGAAAAAGTTATATAATTAATTATATTAATTTTCTTGGAAATAAAAATAATTTAAAGAATTAATATTTATGGAAGATATTATTATACTTATTTACGTGAGAAATTGTTTCTTGTTTGAACTATTTAATCGTTATCTATACCTTCTTCATATTAGTTGTTTTGGCCGAATGTCCAATTGACATCATTATACCATATGACTGTCCATGAACCAATTACCTAAAACTTTCCATTTAAGAATATGGCTTAGATATTTACGGATTATGGCTTATGTGTTTAAAGTAATTTTAAGTTTAGGCTTATGCTGTTATGCATTTAAAGACATTTTAACATCATGGCTTATACTATGGCTTATTCCGTATTTTATATTTAAGACTGACCATCAATCCTTAGTTAAAAAAAATTTTTTTTAATTTTCAAAAATTTTTTAAACAATAGAGATTATTTGCTTTTTTCTAAGGATGGCTGATTTTATCTTTAGAATAAAAATTATCTAGATTTTCAAAATATTCTAAACAATAAAAGATTATTTGCTTTTCTAAGGATGACTTATTTTATTTTTATAATAAAAATTATCTAAATTATGTTTGGATAAGAAATCCTATTCTTCTTATGCCAACTAATATCCTCACTAATATCCATATGAAATGAAATAAACATCTACTAGTACTCCTTTTCCATGCTCTTTTTCTTTGAGTAATATTCTCTTCCTAGCTAGAATTCTTTCTATACATTAAAAGTAATGAGAGACACCACTAAAGGAAGAATAATGATTAATTATATTTCTCCTTATTATCTAACTAAAGGAAATTTCAGATAATTCTATTTTGAAGTGGGAAAATATGATCAATACTTCAAACTATGGTCAAAATTAGAATCTTGTAGATCTGATATGATACTATTTTTACAACTGATTTCTTATGATGGGCTTGTTCCACTAGCTTAAATGTATTGGGATTACTGGTTTAAGAAAATTTTTACCTGCCAAACCAGAAACTAACATCAATACAAATAAACACAAAAACATATTTTATGAAAATAAGGAATACCTATGAAACTTGATGTGCGCACAGATGGAGATTACTATCATTCCTATTGTGATCTTACCCTAAAGTTTGCAAATCAAAATATGCCAGTTGCAATTCTGGAATTGATTATGACAGCACTACTTACTCTTCTGGATAAACATTTCTATTGAATCTTCAATTATAATATTTTGATATCAATATGCAAGGGTTACCACTTGACTCTATATTCAAACTGTTGAGAAAAATAAATTAAATCATTCAACACGCAAATGGAAAAAAATAAAGATTTGTGAATATTAGCACTTAATATGACTAAGGCGTATGGTTGAATTAATATCTATATGCTTGAAAAAGTGATGAAACATATTAGATTTCTGAATAATTTATGTAAATTATTAATAAATTTATTTTTAGAAAGAAAAAATAGAATATTTACACCTGCAAAAGCATATGATATGCAAGTGGATATTGGCCAAGGTAAGATGTAAACCACTTCCAAATTCATCTTATTGGCCTAGTGGGATTGTGGGAAACTTTAAAGAAAAGAAGCTAAATGTCATTCACTTTTGGCAATAAGAAATTCAAAAATGTACTATGAATAAGTGTCAAGTTTTCTAATGCTAATGATGACTTGGAGGAAATCTTGACTACTGCTACTTTTAATTGAATAATTTAAGCTGAAAAGTTATATGATACAAACTAGAAGTAAAGAAATTCCATGGAAATTTTAAAAAACTAGGCATGTATGTCAAAAATAATTAAAAAAAATAACTCTTACTCACGGATAGAAGAATAAGAAGTTAAAAAAAAAGAAAAAGAATAAGAAGTATAAGAAGTTAAAAAAGAAAATACAAATTACATAATAACAAACTTATTCTAGTTTATTATCTAACATAAGAAACCCTACAAGATTAAAAAGTTTCTCTATAATTGTTATTACCTAATATAAAATTTGAAATTTTTAGTACTATCACTGTTATGGAAAATTCATCAAATTAATTGATATACTTTATATTTGAGTATCATATCAGAGCAAACATTTTGCAAATTTTAATTTATTCTTAAAAATTTTCTTAAATGGTTTTTACAAGACACAAATATGAAATTTAAGTGTAAATACTTATTTAGAAATAACATCTCAAAGTTATTTACAAAATTAATTTCTTGGTTTATATAAATTATTGTATTAATAATTAGATATTAGTCTTATATACTATATTTGAAAGGATATTAGAAAAATTATTTCTTACCACAAAAGTAGTATATAATAATCTAAAGAAAAGAATCAGCAATAATGCAAGTTTCTCACTCCAAATTCTAAGAATTGACTGTCCAAAGAACAAGACTTAGTAGTTTCCAATGCCAAAAGGTCAAAGACTCGAAAACATTAAAAAACTTTAAAGAAATATAGAAAATCATAAAAAGAAGTTCTTCTTTTCATATTGACAAGACTTTAAATAATACATTTATAGGCCTATAAATTTTTTAAAGAAACGGGAAAATGCATCAAACATGAACATATTCATAATATAATATTAATTTTGAAATAGATTATAATAGAATTTATATATTAAAGTAATGAAATACTCTTCATCTTGAAAAATTCATTGATGAATTGTGTGCACCTTGTTGTGGCACCTTCATACATGTTAACAACAGAGTGACAATTTATTGGATACCTAAAAATATTGTCACAAGCCAACCTTCATGATATCAGCCAGCAAGTTTGTCAAAATCTATAAATATAGCAAACAAAACTCTAGTAGAAAATAACAGAGAGAAAGTGCAAAAAGTGATATTCCTCATAGATTTAATATTAGTAAATGGAGGCTGGACATTATGATTTTTGATATAATCTGAACCAACAGAGAAAAGTCCAATATGATTGTGCAATTTGGCCTAGGAATTTAACTGAAATTTAAGTATAAAAAAGAATTGGAATATCTTTAGACAACACTAAATACATAAACTTTGATGCTCATTAAGGGAATGAGGTATATTGAAGATTTATCTAAATCTTTAGAACAAACTAGAACAAGAGAAACAAAAAATGAATAAAATTGATAGAATCACTATAATTCAATTATTAATCAAGGTTTTATTGAAATCAATGGATGAAGAACAAGATGATATGATAGAAATTCCAACAAAAAATTACCTCTCAATAAACAGTCATCTTTTTACATAGTCCTAATGTAAAATTTCAATTAATTAATCAATCACAAATATTCAATAACCATAGACTTTTTTGAATTTGAAAATCTAGATATATTATTTAAAAAGGAATAAGTTCCAGTTAACATGCATATTTTGTAATTAATAATGATTAATACAAACTTAATTACCCTAGCTAGTAATCAGTCAAAATATATAATTTATGTTACAAAACGAGCAAAACTACACATTCAGAAATTTGATAGCTGTATTTTCGCTCAACTTACAGAAAACTAAGATCTTGTTATTTTATCAAATAAAGTTATTTAATTAATAACTTTAATTTATTGCATTCGGTTAATAATAACTTGATTTACTATATTTGGACTAGAAAAATCAAAAGTGCATCCTTTGTTTAAGGAAGACAATAACACATGCATTTTTTTTAAAAAAATACACGAAAGATAGATATGAAAAAAAAAATTTTTAATATTTTAGAATAAAATCAAAATAACATCTGGAAAAAAACACCCAAAAAAGACCTACCCTACCTGACCTTGCCTTTAAAAGAAAGAAAGTGGGTGGGTAAAAGGAAAAAAATTATGGTTAATTAAAATGAATTAATCAAATCACAACTCATGTCTAATTAATGGATGTCAGCAGATGGGTTGTTGGACTTGAGAGTGAAGTGTGTAGACTTTTAGAGACCAATATGCATTTGGAGAGGGATAAGAATCATAAAGACAAATATTCGCAAGTAAAGACTATCAGGAACATGGGATTATTCTGAATGAAGAAGAAATCTCTGATACATCCTCATGAAAATATCTATTAATTAATTTTTTTTTGCAATCCTTGGTACAAATGAATGATTCTGTGATGAAATTAGCAATAATAACCATAAGAAAGATTATCTTTTAAGAAAGAAAAATATACTATAATTATTAATTAATATTACATATTATACAATATATAATTACAAGACACTCTTATATTCCTTTACTCAAAGTTTCTGTTTTAGCAAATTCATTTCATCTTAACTTTCACAAAGGAATGTATTAAGATATATTATAAAAGTACAAGTAATATTCTGAATATATACTTTACTGATCTCAACAATTATTCCAAGACACTAATTTAAAGAATATTCATATCTAAACATAACTGTCAGGAGACACTTTAGAAAGATTCATTGATTTTGATTCACTTATATCAACATAATCAAAAAATTATGGAAATCTATTATTATATTATAGCTGGATTAATTTACTTTCACTTAGAAATGTTAATAGCTATTTCACCATTCTTATTCAATATATTAAGTATTAATACAAAATTAAATAGTAATACACAAAAACTGTAATAAGTCCTGCATGTTTTACCATACTTACGTCTGTGCTGTCAAGGTTTCTTACAAAGTTTAATGAAGTTGATATGTACTGAATCCTGGTCTAATTTTAAAACAATGGTAGATGAATTCATAGAATCATATAGGAACTAATTTCAATCCAGCATTAATGCACCTAATATGTTTTTCACAAACTCAATGCCAACCAAAAAAAACATGTATATTTTAATAACTGTTCTTTTTGATTTATTAGATGGATCATAAGTTGCCTTAAATATAGACAATGGGAATATTAGTTTTATAAGAAAGACTATTACTTAAAAATGGAAATTGACTATAAATATTGTATATTATATAACAAGACATTTTACATTCTTTTAACTCTAGGTAGATTCTGTTTTTCATTTCAACTTTCGCAAAGAGAAATTTATTAAGATATATTATAAAAAGGACAAGTAATATTTCTCAGATGTAGGAATACAATTATTCCAAGATACTTTTGAAATTTATAGAATACCAAAGCAAAGTATGGCTTAACATCAACTAATGTGAAAGATAATGAATGATATGAATGACAATAGGAATATTATTGTTGAAAAATCATATATAAAGAATCTTCTTCATTGAAAAAATATAAAGTGAATGAAAATATTTCTTGAAACTTCAAAATCTTCAGCATGATAATAAAGATCTTACTAGCTTTTCCTTTATTGACAAAAGATATACTCATTCATGATGGTGGCCCATTATTAAAAATAATGTGAGAAGTGTGAAACATTCAAAATAAATCCTTGATATTTAATTTAGCATTTAGCATCATCTCTTTCCTCAGATTTTTTATGAAGGTTGAAAAGAATTTACATTATAAAATTAGTTTAGTTGTATTCAGAATTTTCCATTTATTTAATTATTTAGAATCCAAAAGTTACTTCAGAATTTATAAGCAATTTAATACAACTGTTACAAGAGATATTGAAAGATTTAAAAACATGGACAAAAACAAAAAGACGTAAATCAAAATATATATTTAAATCAATTGAACAGAAAGTAGAAAATAATGATTAAAATGAAGACAGTCATATTTTAATGCATTATAGTATGGTACCAAGAAAGTGCAATGCATGTAATTCTAAAAGCTTCACAAAAATCAAAAATAGTTCATCTTAAAGGTGGATATTATATACAAGATTAGGGATGTTTATAAAACAACAAATTCGACAAAGTGTTAAGGAATTATTAAATGCTTTAAAAACCTTAGTAAAATTATAGATTTGTCATAGAACAAGTTATTAAAGATGAAAACAGTTTATTTAAATTATAAAACTTACTATTGCTTGACTATGTTGAAAGTTAAAACATGAAATATAATCAATTTTTAGAATAAATACTATATAATTATCATATTTTGCCAAAGAAGTATGGTATACTTTTTAATTATTAATAATATTGTAGAAGATGTATGTAATGGTACAATAATAAGGAACTTTGGATCATTATATATTAATATTTGCTAATAAAACTGTTGTAGATGAAAAAGTAGATGTAAAAGCATAGTAGGATTGAATATGATCAATATATTCAATTGAAATTCCAATATGGATTGGAAATTCTTGATATGATTTAATAAGAAAAAGATTCCTGCGTCCATACAGCCAAATAATACATTATGTTAGAAATGAGTACCAATAGTTCATTACATTTATAAGTATTTGACAGAAGTGGATTTCTGGTCATGTTATATATTCTGTGATATCACTGATTTGGGATATAGCTGACATGCACACTAATGTTCAGTATATAACAGACAAAAATGATTGAATTCTTGAAACTTGACAAATCAATACTTAAAAAAATAACCCCAAAAATCAATTGGAGTTCAGAACCTCGATCTATAAGTATTTGTTTAATTAGTCATAAATTCAGAATAAGGAATACCACAGAATATGCATACTTCATGCCTTGCAACTCAGAATAATCATGCCTCAGTCAATAGATGCCTTTAATTTATTGCATGCAGTTAACTTTTTAAGAATGCTTATTTAGAAATCCATGATAAGAATGAATAGAAGCATTAGATTTATACTGGCAAACAAGAAACATTTTAGAAAATCATAGTATAAAAGTAAAAAAAGAAGAATACATTAATATTTCAGTTTTTTCTGAATAAATTTCCTTAAAATTTTGATAGCTATGGAAGCAATAACCAATGCAATAATATTTTTGTTTCATATTTGCTATGATAATAAAAATTGGACACATTAAAAACTTTACATCAAAGATTTAAAAAATATAAAAAATTGAACAAAAAAATGTTTATTAATCAAAAAGCTAAAAAAATATAACATGAAAGAGATAGTATATGAAAAACCAATTAATTATATATCAACTCTAAGGAAAGGCAAACAACATTAAAACATATATAGTAGTCCTTCACTATACTCCAGGCTAGTAATTATAGTAAATCACTAACTTTATTTTTAAAGAAAATAATGATGTGTTGTATAAATTCACTAAGAATTATTCATATTCCTAATGGACTTATGATACTTAGTCAAACATTTTTTGAACAACTGCAACTAGAAATGCATGCGATATATGGGGTCCAATTTCTATTGTTCCATGCACAGATTATGACAATAGGATAGATTTATGATATTATTAAATAGAAGTATTAGAATATTATCTGAATTGCAGATGTACAGCATTTTAATGATTGTTTAAGGAATTTTCTGATAATCATCTTTAAACTTCAATCCTATTTATATGTAAGACAGAGGGGTATAAATATAATATGATCAGAGATGCATGCGATATATGGGGTCCAATTTCCATTGTTTCATGCACAGATCATGGTAATAGGATAGATTATGGTATTATTAAATAGAAGTATTAGAATATTATCTGAACTGCAGATGTACAGCATTTTAATTATAGTTTAAGGAATTTTATAATAATCATTCAATATATGTAAAACAGAGGAGTATAAATATAACATGATTAGAAATGCATGCAATATATGGGATCCAATTTCCATTGTTTCGTGCACAGATCATGATCATGAGTTGTGTAGTATTATTAAATAAAATATTAGAATATTAACTGAAATAACAAAAAAAACTCTTTCATCTCACAAATTTTTCCAAAAATTACTGTGGAATTTTATATAAGAGAAAATGGGCAAAAAGTCTAACAAGTCTAACAAAAAGTTTTCAAATATACAGTCCATACCTGTACAAGAGTTTGTCAATGCCTTCACTGCTGCCTTCACTACTTTACTAGATGAACTTATAGATGGTCAGTTCCAGCATAAAGAAAGACAAGGCAACATGCACCAAAAAAAATTACCTGAGTTTTTTCAGCTTAGGCTTTTTTTTCTTTCCCTTTTAATGGTAATCTTTCTGGTTCCAGTGCATTATTTTATTTTTTCTTTCTTGTATACTACCCTCTTGGCTTAATATTGAATGCTCTTCTTTAAAATCTCTAATGTTTTATTCTTAAAAGTTAGTGCTATTTAACCCAATTGATTGGTTATTTTAAATCACTCAGTTTAAACTTGTTTAAATTTAATGGTTTAAATTTTTTATTTTATTAATCAAGTTAGTCTATAAAATTAGCAAATTTTCAATTAAATAATAATACATGTTAAAATTTATATTTTCAAATTATTTCATTAGCTTCTATATTAAAAATAATAATAACAAACATGGTATGATACTATATTACAGTTATTCTTTTTTTATGATGGACAAATTTTAAAATATTAGACAGCAGTTTGTTCTGAAACATTTTTTATTTCTTTGAGAATTGGAACTGATCAAAAAAAATCTTACTCGAATAATAATCAATCAACTACTGTACCTGAATAATTATCAATTAGTTAATCGGTTAATATATGAATTTTAGAAATTAGAAATTAATGATCAAGAAAGCTTTAACCAATTAAAAACTGATTAACTGAGAGCTTTAACCAATTAATTAATTAATCAACACTATAAATCATACTTTTACTTGTATATTTTGCCATAGAAGAATGAGAGTGAAAAAGAGGTTTTTAATTATGTGAAGGATCATCTCCTTCAAGGACTACATGGCAAAATATTAAACTTTAACTGAGCAAAAACCAAAAATGTTCACAATAGAGACGAAGATGCAAGTTACTTTTTAGTTAATAACAATATAATTCTTAGATGTCTTCTGTATTAATAATTAAGATTATTTTCAATTCAGATTGAGGAACAGAACTAGGAAAGATTTTTTATTCAGTATTGAAAAAATTCATTTGTTAAAATTTTAGTATAGAGAGAATACATGACCAAAATTTCACATCTCTTGCATTAAATAATTTTTATGGTTTAATCAATTAACAGACGTGAAGATACAACAAGTACTCAACATACAAAGACACTAAATGGAAATTTCAATATTTAACTTTAACTCTTCCTACTTTGGATATAGTGAACCATAATTACCCAGGCTTATTAAATAATAGCATTTAATGTCTACTCTGTAACAAGTAACCAGAAATAAATAGCCATCTCTGGATGTATCCTGAACTCAAAGATACTATACAAGAATGTTTCAAAAGAATTGGTAACTGACTAATTAAACTTTTATGATAACATGTATAAGAATGGAGCATTAGGGCTAAACGAGAACAATATGAACAAATTACGGGAACAAGAAGTAAACAGAAATGATTTTCTCGAGACAGTAAAAGAGAGTTCATGGCATATGAAATCCCAGGTGGATAAACATTCATTTATTATTGCAGATTCAGTCAAATATTCACTGACTTTTCATTGGGTGTACAGAAATAAATCTGTACACCTAGTGGTATTATTATTTCTGAAAACATATGTTACTAATGATCTGGTCAGCATATTCAGTTTTGTAATCACTTTAATACTTTAATACCATCAAAAATTCAAAATAATTCTAAAAAGACTTCATGAGAGTAGCAATATTTTTAAAAAAGAAATTTGGAAAAAGCACAACAATAAGTAGAAAACTTTACGTTCAAATATGAGCCTTTCAAAATGAAGTTTTAAAGATTTCTCTGGTTTTCATAATAATCAGGCAGGCGTACTAATTAACACTAATACTTAAATGTGACATATTCATGAAAATAACTACATTAATTCTTATAATGATTTTAGAAATTTTAAACTCTATAATGATTTTCTATATATTTGTTTTTCTCATCTAATTTCTTACATAGTGGACCATTTTATAAACATTTAGAATCTAATAATATTATTACTTTATCTATATGTACAGATGATTGTCTTATTTATAATGTTTAGTTTCCTACATCTTCTAGTATATAATATTAATTTGTTCTGGCAAACCAACAATAATACTTGAACTCCTTGCAACTTCAACTAAAAAGGAATTAGATGAACATTTTGAACGAACTCTTAAATATTCCCAATTACTTAAGAGGAGTCATCTTATTATTCATGACATTTGGACGTACACTTTACATGCGAAAATGAACCAAATAAACCACCATTGGCCAATTAAAGAACAGCGAAAAAAGGGTTGAATGCTATAATGTTTTGGCATAATCGTAATTTTACAAGTGTTTATATGAGTGCATATTACAACAATGAAAATGGTAATATGATAGAAATTATGAAGTGTTATAGAAAATAAAAAATGTGAAATCTAGGCTTATAATCATTACAATGGTAGGTGATATGGTATTTATTTTAGGCTAATATAATACCTTTGTTATCCAAATTATATTAAAGTTTAGCTAGTTATAATTTTAATTCTAACATTAATAATATGCTTTTGTAGATTTCAAGACTTTAATATGCCTACTATGGATGTGATAATAAGAAATATTCGGTGAAAACAATTAATCATAAAAATATTTCCCAACTTCATTTCTTCCAATAAAAATGAATTTGAAACTTGTTGGATGCACTATACAAAGTACAGGAGAACATTACATAGTATGACATTAACATCAACACAGGAATCATTGTATTTTTTTAAGTATAAGCTTGCACACGTTAATTAACATCACCTGTTTATTTTCTATTATTTTTGCTATCAAATCTATTAGAGGCTTTTACAAGAAGAATATTTTCAGATGGTATACATCCACGCCAGTCGTTACATACAGGAACATTTTTGATATTATGGGATGGTAAAACTATCAGGAAATTATTACCAAAGTTCTTCGAAAAAAATATTTCATCTCTGCAGCAAAGACTCACAGTCACGTGATCTGGAAGAAATGTTAAACAAAAAGGTAACAAAGAAAGAACAAATATCAGACGGTACCAGCCAAAGATTCAATATGGAAAATTCAGATCCCAATTTTCCACGTGATACTGATTTCTCATGTGATCTTTGTATCTTATACAAGTATTAATATTTATTGCCACATTCTCTCATTCAATAATAACTCATATGTTGGCAATTGTTTGATAAAATTTTTAAATTTATATGCTCTAATAGAATTGTCTAATTCACGTGTAGTACTGGATTTCCAATATTCCCTTCTTCAAAAATATGAACATTTCCGACCAATCAGTTTCTTATAATTTGTTACAATAAAAAATCTTTGTAATAATAAACTTGTTAAAATTTCACTTTTATATTCTATACATACAATTTTTTTCATCCATTTTCTATAGTTTTCAAAAATGATTTGTTTTTTCCATCTAAACGTAAATTTATATTAGTAACGCCTAGAGACGATCTATCAGTAGATATTGCTTCTTCTGTTTCTTCAGACTTATCTGTTATTACTAATCCATTATTATCTTTTGAGCTATCATTTTTAAAGTATTCACATTTTATTTCTATATTATGTTAACTAAGAATTCTTGTATAAAATTCAATTCTATATAGTAATTACAATTTAATTTTTTACGTTCACTTTTTTTCTTTGATAAATTCCTCAATGATTTTAACGACTATATTTTCAGTTTTAATGACTAAACTATTTCCACTTGTATTTTCTTACTCCTTTTCTTAGTAGTAATATCATTAGTTAATATCATTTTAATTTTATATATTTTATTTTTCCGTTCTTCGTTATTTTTAGTTATTATGTATAAAAATTTTTTATATCCATCTATGACATATTATACACCTTTTCACGTTCTTTTTTGCAACTAATTTTAATTTCTTGTATATCTTTCTCTATAAAAATTATTAATATTGTTCGATCCTCCTATCGATCAACACAATTTTATCGTATATCTTCATCATCCACTAATGCTTTAATACTTCTATTCTTATTCATTATATCATTTTATAAGGTTTAGAAACTTTAACATCATCAATCACTTCTTTTCTGCATTCTATCGTTCTTGTATCCTTCAAATTAGTTATATAAATCCAACATTCCATTTCCATATTTCGTCTAATATTACTTATAAAAGTTATTTGTTCGTAACGAAAAATTAGGAGAAAATGAAGAAGTTAATTATTCATTTATTTTATTAAAATATTTATCATTATATTAATATTAAATTTATTTTACTTTTTTAGTTATTTTTAATATTGCATGTACCGTAAATTTCTTTGCTTGTTTTCATTATCGTTATTGGAATATTGCAGGTTGCCAAAGTTTTTCGTTTATGATTTATTTTTGTATTGTTTATTCACATTTATTTCAATACATTTATTGTTACAAACCTTCATTGGTAAGGCGGTATAACACATTTATTTCATTATTTTATTCTGTTACTGTCACGTGACTGCGACGAAAAATGATGGTAAAGTTATTTATTTGCTTTAAATGATGCTGAATTTTTTACAAATACTTACCAGACAATTGAATTTTAACCAACCAAAATTTTGGGATACGCTGAGACTATCGATCAACCATCAGACCATTGTTGTATTTCGTTGAAAATAAAATTAATAAAAAAATCATTCCACTAATGAAAGGTAAAAAAGTGATTATAAGCATTAGAATTTTATCACAAATTCAATGTGAAACTTTGATTTTTAATTATATGATATATAACAAATATAGGCCTTTATTAAAACGAGTTGAATTAGGTAAAGTAGGTTAAGTTTTTCGTATCGAGGCTGGAGTGAAAAATAGTCAGCTGGCACTATTGTGTGATCCAGATTCTACCGTTTACAGTAAGAATGTGGGATACGAAATTTCACCCCCTATAAATTATTTCTTCATTGCAATTAACTAAATTCTAATATTATGTTGTGATTATCATATTATTAGCTTGAAGATAAGAATGCTGAAAAGCTCGTGTAATATGTTTAGCTTTAATTGTAGTATTATTTTAATAAATTTGTTGATCGTACTAACCATGAAATTCAATATATGGTTAGTTTGATGTCCAAATATAGCTTAAACTTTTCCAGCATTTTTATATTAAGCTTGAAGCTTGAAGCATATACTTAAGTATAAGTTTAAGCATAAGCCTCAAGCTTCAAGCTTCAAGTATTGGATTCTACGGATGCAGGTTAATATATATTGATTCTTTTTTAAAAAAAAATTGACGATCATGACGTAATCATGTACATAACAAAATGGTAAAAATGAAGCGTAATTAATAATTTATTTAATATGATAAAAAAAAAAGTACTATGAAAGCTATCGAAAAAAAAAAATTTCTTACCATAAAATAATATTACATAAATAAAATAAATTATTTTTTTCTTTTTTTTAAAAAAAAGGTTATGTTCTTACCATTATCAGTTAAATAAAAAAAACATGGAAGATTTCAAATGTCAATCATTATGTAATCAAAATTTCCCATTTAAGTTAAAAAAAATTCGGCATCTATAAAAGAATATTTTTATAAATATAATTACATCAAAAAAATATTTGATCATAAAGAAAAAAAAGATTCTGTTTAGGCCGGGCAAAAAAAAATTTAGATTCTCGTGACCTGGCCGGGTCAGTTTTTCGAAAAATGGAAATTTTTTTTTTATAGTAAAATTTTTTATCACGTGATTTTAAGTTTTTGGCCAATGTGCGCAAAAAATTTTACATATCTGATATGAAAAAAAATGCCGGCCGGCTGGGTCATTTTTAAAATTTTATGTCACGAGAATCCAAAAAATTTTTTTTCCCGGCCTTATAAAGAAATATTGACTTCATTTTTAATTTAATGACGCTCATATAAAAAAATATTTAATAAAGATCTCTTTTTTTCGGAAAAAAAAGAAAAAAAGAAAAAAAAAAATCGATTAAGAAAAAATATATTAATAAAATATCTATTCCTTACATAAAAAAATAAATAAAATAAATTATTTTATATTAAATTAAATAAATAAAAATAAATAAATAAATACTATACCAGCAAAACTCACTTTAATTTGTGTAATTCATTCAATTGTTGAATGAGAAAGTAATAATTTTATTATAAAAGAAACTATTGGTATTATGAGAAAAGAAGATAATACAACAATGAACTAAAAAATAATTTTCTTTTTTCAAAAAATCCATCAGTTCCAAAATGGATTCCCGTTTTTATATCTGGTGATGTAGTTAGACTTACAGGAAAATTTTCTTTCAATGAGGAACCTTCTCATGATGATATTTTGGAGGTAATTTTTAATTTATTATTTATGTAAAAAAAGTAATAATACCCAAAGAAAATAATTATTAATTCTTTTTTTAAAATAAAAAAATAAATTAGATGCAGATGAATCATTTGACGATTAGTTCAACCTCTGTTTTTTTTCATTTGGTTACGTTATAAGACAAATACAAGATGATGATGATTTATTTAAAAGTATCAAACTTAATGTTAATGAATTTGTTGGAAAGAGATATGTTGCTGACAATTTAATATAAAATGTAGATACTTAAAAGCGGATGAGAGAATTGATAATAAAGCGAAAAAAATCCATAACCAGATTCTTTTTCTTAATATATTCTACATTATTACAAACAAAAACATAAATATATAACTCACAATAAATAACATATTAATTAAAAAAATATTAAAGGGCGTGCCAACTTGATTCCTGACGCCACCCTTAATTTATGTGTAAGAATTTTGTATTGCGTTAATGACGTAAGTGGAAGAAAGGAAGAAAAGAAAATTGCATGGGTTACAGATCAAAATCGTCTAGTACATAACAATAGAATGTCCATCGCTACGTCTGGACATTGAATGGAAATTCTGGAAAAAACTCTGATAAATGATCATTTTTTTAGTTTTTATTCCGAAGAAACTCAGACGCGTGATCATTTTTCTGAAAAATTATTTATAGGGACTTTTTAGGACTTCGTTCCCGATGATTATTTCTTTATTGCAAATTAATTGAAAGAAGCCGATTTCCCTCGTGATGATAAAACTTTCTTTCATTAGTGATTTACATAAAAGCAAGAGTACGGAGAAAAAAATATATATTTCTAATTTGTCAAAATTCACTGCTGAATAAACTATTAAGTATTGATCATTATCATCCTTATTATTAGAAACCATCTAACAGCGTGAAATTAATTTTTCTTTATGATGTGACATAATTTTTTATATAATACAACTAACTGTATAAATAATTTTGAATCGTGTTAATACTAATAAATAATAGTTTAAATTAACTTAATAATCTAGGTTCGAATTAAAAAATACAGTAATTTTAACAGTTAATTTATTTATTTAGTAGCTTCAAGATGGATGAAATTAGCGTTGTGAATTTTATGGAGCAAATATAATTCAATATTAGAATAATTTTTTTGTTGTAGAATTAATAAATAAATTATAATAAAAATTTTTTAAATTTTTTTTTTTTTTTTTTAGAATAAAATTTTAATCGATCGGGTTAATAATGGCTAATCGATTTTAAAGAGATAAAAAATTAAATCGCACATAAAAACTTTTATTATAATAAATTATTCATGATTTATTTGAAAAAAAATGCCTTTCTTTAAAAAAGAAATTTACGTTCATTTTTTTCGGTCAGATCATTCATTAAATTGTTTAATTCATTTAAATTCTTCAATTCTATTTATTTTTAAAAATATTTGTATGTAAATACTAGATTAATACATTTCATATCAATAATTAACGTGTTCGATACTGAAAAAAGGTGGTACTGCATATTAAAAGGTTTGAATCAAAAATTTTTATACCAAGACGACTTACGGTATATCGACATTAATCATTCCCAACGGGCAACTATATCCAATAAAATATTCTTTTTTTAAAAATCTACCTTTGGTTTATCATAATCTCCAGAAGATAGCCATATTATTGGATTATATCCATCAACAATTTCCTTGTCATTATAATACACTTTATAAGTCAAGATCAATTCAATTATTCATATAAACAAGTAATGCGTGATATTTTTAAGTTAGGCAAAAGTGACATATTTTTGCAAAAACTTTGTCATGAACCAATTAATGAAAATCAAAATTACCATAAGTACATTCATTATTATTTGGTGAATTAAACCGCGCATTTTTGGACTAGCCGATTTAACGTACCTCATTTGATTTTATGAAATACTTATAAAATTGACGCATAAATCCGCGCATATGATTCATTGTTGATCGGCATCACATGACTCGTCAATTTACAACATCTGCAATTTTCGTTCTGTTCCTCACAACATTACTAAGGATCTTTCATATTACCCTGTTTAAACAGATAAGTCAAAACAAAAATAGGCATTCGGATGAATTTATTCATTTTTTAACTAAAACATTCAAATAACAAAACAACCATTTATCAAATGTATAAATGTTTGTAAAATCAATTTATTGCAATTTACTATAAATCCCATTAAATTATAACTAACAAATTGTCTTAAATCCCAAATAATTCATTATAAATGGACTATTACAAAAACCAAGAAAATTGAAATTTAATATGATTTTACAAGTCATAAGTAGGGATCACCTCATGTAACGCTTTGATAAGTTTTTGATTCGGTTTCAATCTGAAATTCGTTGGAAATTCGGTTCTACATTCAGGACATTTGTGACCCATAATTGATATACTTCGAGTAAGACAATCCAGGCAAACATTATGAGTACAATTTGTAGTGATAGGTTGCACAACTAATCCAAAGCAAACGGGACACTTGAATTCCCGTTCGCTTATAATTTCGATAAATTCCGTGTGATTTTCAAATTTTGATTCAAGAACTGTAGTCCAGGCTCGTTGATTATCTTTATCATCTTCAATAAACTTTTTAAGGTTGGCCGAAATTTTGTATTTGTTGTCTTTTTTAGCTTTTTTGGAATTTACACCTTTATCATCATCTGAATCAAGTGTACGTTTCTTGGAAACTTCATCATCATCTCCAACGATCATTTTTATTCCAAGTTCCTTAATTCGTTTCTTTCCCTCCGAAGTCCATGGAGCTGGTTCTGGATCGTCCCGGCGCATAAGATATCTCCAAACCTTGAATCCAGACGCACCTCTTTCTGGCCAATACTTTACTAACTTATATATTCCATCATATCTAATTCCTTCCTCTGGTGCGTATTTTGGATTATGCTTCATTAATTTCGAGGATCGACATACTCTTACTGGCATACTGTTTTTCCAATTCCGCGCTTCGGCTCCTTTTTTAGCGTTAACTTCAGCATCACAAGTCCTAGCAAGAGCTTCATTTGTTTTAGTCAACTCTTGATCGAATGACTGTACTGCAACTCGTTTATTTCCAGTTTTAAGATCTCGACCACCGGAACCAGTATAATAAAATTCATCGCCATTATCCATGTCTTCAGGGTATCCACCGCTGAGTACAATAGATACAGAGCCAATGCTAGCTTTTCCAGCGATACCAGCAACAGGTGGACGATGGACTCCTGATTCAGAGCAAAATATTCTATATTTCCATAATGAACCAACTGGAACACCAGGAATTGGTCCAAAGTAATCAGGTTCTACTATCTCACATTTCTTGGAAAGTCCTACGCAAGCCATTCCTCCTCCCCATTTCTTTTTTTGTGTAGCTGACGGCATCTTTGATTTTTTCGAATTTTCGAGATCTAAACTTTGGCCAGCTAACACAACACCAACATTTTTATGCTTACAATCTTGACAATACCACTCCTCGTTTGGTAGCTCAGTGATTTGCGGGGATAAGCAATAGAAATGAAAATAATATTGGCACTCGTCACACACTATTGTGTGTTCATCGTCATCCTTTCCGCCACAAATATTGCACCCACAATGCTTACACTTTTTTTTTTTATTTTCACATAAAGTACAAAAATATTCCTCTTCTTGTTCAAAATTATTCAGATCATCCATGACAGATGTTGATTTAGTTTCGATAGGGTGGTTCGAAATCTCGTGTTCTGACACTTGTGAATTAACTTTTTTCTCAGCTTTCACAGGGATATCCACAGATAAAACTGCAGATTCGGTTTCACAAGAGGTTTCAATTTTTTGTTTTCTAATGAGTAGGACAACGCTATTGTGCTTAATATTATAATGAAAGAGAGTGTGTCCATTTTCCAGCTGAACATTTTAATAAATATTTTTATAAAAAAAATTATGTTAGTGTCAGAAAAAGAGTTAAGATACATTAAAATTACAAATACTTGACAGTAAAAAAAAAAAAACGCGTAATTACGCGTCCTATTTACCTGTTTACCTCCAAATAAAAGGCGTTGCCTTTCAGGTGGATATTCTTTACAACCGAACTCTTTAGAAATTATATCACGGAGTTCTTTTATATCGTCCGTGGGTGAACACGTTATTTTGATTTTTTCACTTTTGTCGTTTGGTGCGCTGATAAAAATAAACATTTTTTTCAAAAGATTATAGAAAGTGTAATAATATTGTAGTACGCAACGCAGAGTAAAAAGAAAGACAATCCACTTTTATCTAGGATTATCCCCCTTAAATTATTTGAATATGAGTAATACTATAACTTTGCCTTTCTAGATAACTTTACTCATGATGGATTACTCGAGTAATCATTCTAACCCGAATCATACATACACGTACATATAAGGAAGTCAAGTAAGATATGTTAGGTTGATAACCTTGATCCTTCTATCTATATTAGTATGCATGTAAGGAGTTCAAGAGTTAATGCACGTGATAGATCACATCTTTTTTTGCAATAAACGCAGTAAAACTCAAAATATAGTTACGTATATCCGTCATTGTATAGCGGTAGGAAAGTAAAAATTTATCATTATATCAAGTTTTTAATGATATATCGGTATATCGAATATGAATACTAGACAGGTAACATGATTTTATTCTTTAAAAAAAAAAATAAAAAAATAAACTGAGCCCGATCTTGCACTACATCCATTTTATATGCATTACGTGAATACTGGTTTTTTTTTTAAGCCCCCCCCCCCCTTAAACCAAATTCGTTCGACCATGTGAGTCTTTACCAAATGTCTATCTACATCACAATTATTGAACATCTCAATAATTATAACTTTATTAAAATTTTAAATTTAATTAATTTAATTATTTTCATTCAAGAAAAAAAGTATTTTAAATATGCTGATTTATATGTAATAAAATTTTAATCACTTTACCAAAATTTTTTATTAGGATAGAACATTTACTACTAGTAGTTAATAATTTAGATTAAAAAAAATTGAGGAAGAGAAGCGCTGCATGTTAAAGCAATAAATTAGTCCATTATATGATATTAAAATTATTATATAATATATTTATTTTAAAAGAAAATAGATTCCATATTATTTCGTGATCTTTACTGCGATGTAATGTACAATCTATGTTTAGTATACTCCTTAGCGGCCAAATAATTTACCAGATTCTATGACATTATCCAGCAAATACTTAAAACTTTTATTGATCAAGCTTCTGGATTGGGTAAGCATTATTTCTAAAAAATGTGTGTTTAATTTAAAAATTTTTAATGTAATATTGATCTAAATATGTTGTTTCTTATTTTCGTTACTTTTCTCATCATGAACTATATATTTAAAGGAAGATGAAAATATTTAGATACTTTTTCTGCTAGAGATTAAGTGAGTATATTCTTCTTGTACTATAGGTTTTAACATCTTCATCATCAACTTTTGTTGATGTGATCTCTTTGGATCTGGAAAGGTCGTTCAAAGCATGAGACTTGTGAAGACGGAATAGGAAAAGGAGAGAATGATGACAACAAGAATGATTCAGATTTAGATCTAATGATTAACAATCCTCGTAGATAAAATTAGATTTTTATGCGTTGGAAAGTATTTGGTTTAGTCACAGTAAAGTATTGTAAATAATAATTACCTTTGAAGAAGGTAAATGTACATTATAAAATTCTGAGAATTCTTCAATTAAGATGAATAATTGATTTCTTATTGTAAGTTTTAATATCGTTAATATCGTTATCAATAAATAAAGCTTAATTGACTTTTATTTTTATTTTTTATTTATTTAAGGATTGATTTTTTTTTTCAAATAAGCAGGCGATATTGTAAATTGTAATAAAGTTAATTTTAGTTTCCAACCTCAATAATATGAAACAGAAATGATTAGAGTTCCGAATGGGTCAGGTCAGGTCAGGTTATATCAGGTTATCTGTTTGACCTGACCTGAACTGAAACCTGAAAATTTTCAGGATTTTTGTTAAAATATCAAAAAAAAATGGTGCAAAACATTTTTTTTGAAAATATTATGATTCACTTTTTTATATTTAAATCGTATAAAAAGGTGAATCGCAATACCGCAACTAACTTTATATATATAAAATCAATATAAAAAAGTGAATTCCGATACCGCAATTCACTTTTTATATATAAAATCGATATAAAAAAGTGAATTCCGATACCGCAATTCACTTTTTATATATAAAATCAGTATAAAAAAGTGAATCCCGATACCGCAATTCACTTTTTATATATAAAATCAATATAAAAAAGTGAATCCCAATATCGCAACTCACTTTTATTATATAAAATCAATATAAAAAGCGAATTATAATACCATCACTTATATTATATAAAATCATATTTTCAGGTCAACAGGTCATTCAGGTTATATTATTGATGTTACCTGAACTGATAAATTCAGGTCAACCTGTCAGGTTACCTGAATTTGGTCAACCTGTTTGGAACTCTACTGTTTGGTTATATATTGTAAATAATTTTTATATTTTTTCATTAAATTGTGTATGTGTAACAAATGAGTGTAATAAAAGGCAATTATATAAACGAAAAAATAATAAAAAAAAATCGTTTTTTAATTTGGACCTGCTGGCTAGATGATCTGTCAAAATATCCAGCTGATTTATTTTTTAAAAAGGCACACTTTTAATGTTACTTTCTTTTTTTTTGTACTTTATTACTTAATATGAGCAGATACAATATTTCTGTCATATACACTTTCTAATGTATAATAAAGTAAATGTTATTTATCTAAATTAAAATAAAACCAAATTTTAGGTTATTTCTACAAATTTTGTAAAATCTAATAATTTAACTTTTCTATTATTGGATTTTGCCCCGTTAGTTATATCTTTATTTTTACCCATTTTAATTCGTTTATTTCAAGCGTTTTTGTCTTCTCATTTCCTTCTTTTTCGGAAGCCTTGTCGAACAAACCGAATTTACTCTTTGAACTCTTCGCTTGTAACTTTTTTCTTTAGAACTTTATTTTCCATTACTTTTCCATATATAATCATACAGTATAACTTCGTTTGTCGCAGATCTTTCTTTTTATTTCTGGCTATTACTATTCTTTCCTCCTGAATAATCTTCCATCTTTACTTTCTTCTGTTTTAACTGATCTTGGATGTGATATCTTTATCTCTTTTTGCTGTAAATCTGAATAAAATTATTAAATTTTTTTTTAGCCAGAGGAACTATCCAGATATCGTTCAAACCAGTACCCTATATTCTCTTTATTTTTGAAATACGCATAGATATACCATGTTCCTTTGATTACGTAAATTCTGTGGACATTTTACGAAAATAACATATAGAAAAGCACGGAATAAATTTTTTATAGTGATAGTTTTTGCAAAAATAAAACCATACGTCTCCTTCATCAATGTAAATAGCTCAGCGAATGTCAAATTTTCTAAATCATCAGGTATTTTTTTGTACGTGTATTTAATAAATCCCCGTCTTTCATCTGATAATTTTTAAACGCTACGAACCATCGTAGAATGTAAACACTACTGTTGACCTGAGAAACCAGAACGCCTTTATCTACTTCTTCAAACTCTTTGGCTTTTTCCAGTTCGAAATGAATTTCAACCTTCACAGATTGCTTCTTCATACTGAATTTATTGATAATACCGAGAGGATCCAGTAGACCAGTACATCACCTTGCTGGAATATCGTATATTATTATTATTTCATGTGACTCGGTACTTTTTAATGTTATTTTTTTATATAAAAAAAAAGAAATGCATCTTTCTATATTATTATAGTGCATTTCATTTTTTATTTAAAGAACGTATTTTTTTATTTTTATTAAAATGATTTTTTTTTAAAATTAAACAAGTGACGTTACATTTTTTAATATATAAAAGTGCATTTCGTTATTTTTTGTTTTAAAAGAACGTAACGAAACGACATTATTTTAATATAAAAGTCTCGTTCTTTTTAAGAATTTTAAAGAAAAAACCAATTTTCTGGTTTTTTTTATCTAATTAAAACAACCGCATTTTTTTTTAACACTTTTTCTGCTTAACACCGACAAATCAGTGATTAAAAATACATATGATTTTTTTTTTGATAAATACTGATTTAAACGGGCCAAGTAACCAACTCGATTGTACCCATTTAAATTCGGGTTTCAAAATACAACAGGTTCCAAACTCTAATTTCCAGACGATAATACTTTTTTTTAAAAAAAATAATTTAACAAAATTAAAACATGATCTTTTTTACAAGTTCATAAATTAAATTAAGAAAATATACTTTCATAATAATATTTGTGCTTAATAAATATTTTTTTTAAAAAAAACAAGATTGCATTTCAACTTTATTAGTAATTCATAAAATATTATTAAGTAACATTCAGTTGACACTTGACGGATATATAATAATAACATAAAAGAAAAAACCAATTCTACTAAGAAAAGAAAATTTAACGTAGTTCAACTGCTGAAGAAAGATGATTTAATTGCGAAATATTCTAAAAGGAGGAAATAAAACTAAATTATGATTATGTTGGCGAAACAAGTAAATGAAAAAATCCTATTAATAGGAATATTAACTGCTGAAGTTATTTTCATATACGTCTATTTTTAAATTTGACGGATATATTTGTTACACCATAATCAGGTGAGTATTTCACCATCCAACGCTCGTCATCTCAAAGAATAATTTTGCAACTAGAACACAATTATCACTTCAATTGTATCGATTAAATCAAATAACTATACCTTTTAAACAATTTTACCAGGGCTGTTAAGCTGCTACACAGAGGATGTAAGAAATACTAATCGAAATTTTCTTTTTCAATTATTACTAGCGTAATTGTTTAACGCTATTAACATAGTAATAAATAAATTAAGTAAAAATTTTCATACTTCTCTCGAATTACCGAATGAAGTCTTTAAATAATCGTCTTTTTTTGATAAAAGAACAAGAAATAGGTCAAATATCCCATTATTATTTATAATTGGTTAATATTTACCTTCGTTACAATGTGTAACAGACTAACGATTTAAAGTTACCGTAGTTATCGTAGTTATGCAACACTGGAAGTTGCATATATATACAATAAATTATTCCATTTATTTTATTAGCCCCTAAAAATTTTTTCTCCGTTAAAATTTAAAGTTCTCGTCTTCATTATAATTAATATTAAGTAATTTTTTTTTATTAAATAAACCTATAATCTATTAACGTTAACAGTTAATATATTGAAAATTGCATGAGACCGATATTATAATATAACCGTTATTTATGTACTCACATAGTAAATATACCACATCCTTTCGGAATAAGTATTATTAAAGAATTTTGATAAATAGATTTCGTATTTTCCTTTGCCCGGAATATAATGCCGGCCAAAACAGAAATCTATGGGAAACCGTACGTTCATTCATTGGATAATTATTACTATTATTGGATTGACAAAGCTCATTTAATAATCACCTCGCATCCTTGGAAACTCCCTTTTTTATAATATTTTGTGATGAATGTGAACAGATAATGCTCACAAGATAAAAAAAAAATTTTTTTATTCTAGTTGTTGAATTATTGTTGATTATTACAACAAATTCGTTTAAAAAATTTTTTTTTATTTTAAATTACCATAAACTAAAAAAATATGAAAAATAAAATTACGAAAAATAAAATTATGAGGATTTCGGCCTCATAAATATACAAAAGTAAAATCTATATAGTAGAACAAGATTTATGTATCGTTTTGAGTAAATCAAATTTAACTTTATCTTAAGAAACTGTCAAATTTTTTCATTTATAATACATATATGAGATGGAAAGTCAGAAATAATATATTGTAAAAAGAAGATTAAAAATTTGGATTTGAGTGTTATTAGAATTTAGGAATAAAAATCAAAAAAAAATTTAGTCGATAAAAGAAATGATATAACGTAAGTTCCCTCAATAAAAGACACTCTGCACATCCTTCTTAATTTAATTATATGAAAGAGGAATGTATTTCCTCGTGATTTCGGTAAACATTACACTTCCGAATTGATCTACCAAATAAGTAATATATGAATGAAAAAAATACAAGGCTGAATTTGTGATATCAATGTGACTTATTTGTTTTGGAGCACAATTATACAAAATACGGAGCATACCGATTTTCTCTGAGTTCAATTTCTCCGAGTCCGTCACTCTGAGGGCACAGCAATGAGTTCGTAAAGCATTAACCTTTAAAGGCTCTCGCCATTTTTATCGTTATAGTTTTGCTTTAATTGCGATTTTAACGTTCTTAATCGCTTAATAAACATTTATAGCTTAACCTTGCAATATCATCGTTTTCAAAATAGTATAGCTTTATATATTGCATTAAAAAAAGAATATCAGATTACCGGGAAAAAACCGGAAATATATTGGTACTTGAATATTTGATCACAAATTAAGACGCAAAATAGTCTTACAATTTTAAAAATAAATATTTTCACCCTTACTTTTTTACACCACATTTCCTCACTTAGAGTCTAGAAACTTTATTAAAAGAATTAATTTTTAATAAACATCTTATTGTGTACATTCTTTATTAACTATTTAAATTAATATTTATAATTCTTAGAAGTTTACTAATTGTAATTACCAATCCGAAGAAAAAGAGAGTTTTACTACTTTCTTTTTTATAATTATAATTATACAACTTATTATTAAAAAAAAAATAAAATAAAATAAAATTTAATTACTAGAAAAGTGAACCTAATTATTTTTTCTTCTATTAACACATACTTAGAATATTATTGTTGCAAAGAAGTAACTTGACAATTATAATCTCCAACTCCATTTATGTCTTGATGAATGACATCATTTCCGGACATTACATTGTCGATGTTTGTGGCGTATTAATTCCTTCGAGAAAAGTGGTTGCGTTTTCGCCGGAATTTAATCTCATTTGTCTTTCAGGAATATAGAGATAAAAAGGGAGAACCTGCTTCAAATTTAATTCGAGATTAAATTTTTTATGTGAAGTTAATAATATATTACATTCACGTTTTAGATCATCTAAAAAATCTATTCCATAAATTTTCTTATTTAATAAGTTTACAATTAAATGATGTGACATTATTTTACATGCAACATGATAACCTGTATTTGGATCCAGATAAAAGAACTCGTAATCGTAATCTTCATCATACATTCGTTGTAAAACCATTTCACAAGTTACATGATAAAAATTATCATCATGTGGTGGTTGATAAAATAATTTAATATCATTAGAAATTGTGTAGGCTTCTAAAGTAAATGCAACGCGCGAGTCGCTGATAGGTTGAATAATTTATCAGTGATTTTTGAGCGTTAATATAAAAATTTTAATGTCTTTTTTAATACAAATTCTTAGAATTTCATAAATACGTTACGAACCTTTCAAAAATTCGATCTTGTAAAGAAGGAAGTGCGTTCTTCAAGCTCATCTCGAGATCTATTTTTTGATCTCGCGTCAATGTATATTTGCGTTTTAGGTCATTTGTATTAAAATCTATACTATAAAATTCTTTATTCAATATATCTACAATCAAAGTATTTGATAATAATTTGCATATAACATGATAACTTGCATTTGAATTTTGGTAAAAGAACTCGTAATCATATTCATCTTCCAAGGAAATGAGATTTTCCAAATTTTGAAATTGTAAAACCATTTTACAAGTTATATGATAAAAATTATTATCATTTGGTTGTAAGTAAAAAAATCTAAATTCATTTAACTTCGAAATTTGTTCCAACGATATTTGACTTATTATATCTAAATTGATCGATGTAGCAGTATTCGTGTTGCTTTGAGACATTGTACTTTATGTTGAAAATAATTAAACATAAAATAAAACTCTGTATAATAATACTGTATTTTTAAAGAATATATACCATATATACTGTATATGTAAAATGACTTTTCGGTCCACTAAAATCGAATTTTGTCAAAATAAAGTAATGTGAAAATATATATATATAATTTTGATTTTTTAATGTAACGACGGAATTATCTTTCAATATATATATATATATTAAGCGAATTAGTGGAGAAAAGAGAGAAAAAAAAAATTAAAATCCAAAATGAAAAGACGTGGTTATTAATTTGGTTCGTTATATATAATAGTAATTATTTAATTATTCTAATTATTTAAAAAAAAAAAAAAAATTTTTTTTTTATTTATTATGGCAATTTAATTTTAATAGAATAACTTGTACTACTAACTAATTTCAAAAAGCAATTTTGCGTTTTACTTTTTATTACGTTGTGTATGTACATTTCTTAAAGTTGGACATTAAATGATAAACTGGCATTATAATAAGTCTAGTAATAAAATATAATACAGACGATCTTTAAATGATAAAATACAACTAAGAGAATGATTCTGACCGGTCGACGTTATTTGTAAGAGTCGCATTCATTTCATCGACAATTACAGACTTTTCACCGACAGTGTCATTTCGCAAACAAATGTTTCACCGACAATCATCTTACCAACATGGGAATTTAGGATTAGAGTTAGGGTTAGGTAAGGAAATTATAGTATTAAGGTTAGGATAAGTGGATTAGGATTTCAAAACTGTCAGTAAATGATCCTGTCGGGTGAAACCCTGCATTATTTATGTTTACAATTAATAAATTACTAATTCAAAAATTTTTTTATCAAACTATACAAGTTATAATTTCATTAGGTAATTTAATTTTTGATTAAACTTATGATATATCATAAAGGGATGGTTGGCTTTTAAACGCAAAAGTTGGTGCCGGTGCTTTATAATTATTTATGAGTTCATTTTGTCTTATGAATTTAAGCAATTTTGAAAAAAATGTTGTTAATAATTAACTGAGGATCTTTAAGGATAAAATTATGCGATAGAAATAATTAGATAATAGATGGTGTAATAGGTAATAAATAAAAATAGAACGCAATATAGTAGAAATAGCATTCTTATTAAGATTTTGAAAGAAAACTGTATAACACTAAATAAATTTTTACCTTCGCATAAAATCTAATGCAAATTTAATAACAAAATCATATTTGGTTGTTCTATATATGTTTCTTCGAATTAAAGTTTTATAAATGATTGATTAGTGTTGAAGGCTTATGTGACGCAAAATGTCACGTGCCTATAATTTTTTTGTTAAATTTTGTAGCGGTACCAGATCACAACGATAAGCCATTAAATTAACATCTCTCATAATTTATATAACATAATACAATATACACTGTAAGTAAAAATTTTTTCTTTGGCATTTTTGAAATTAGTGCTTCGATCCGGATGGGATTTTAACGGATCAATCCGCGGTTTACTATGGTTTGGCAACGGTTTATTTGAGTTGGAGCTATAAGTTTGGCCAAAATTAATAAAATTTGTAGAAGAATAATTTTTTTAAATCTGACAAAAATTATAGTTTGACAAAAATAATAGAAAAATGTTGTGATGCTAATCAACGGATCAATCCGGATCGAAGCACTATTTGAAATTACCATTCACGATTACACCACTTGATTCATAAGTTTTATTAATATATAAAGTTAATAAATACATTAATTATCATTCAGAGCTCTTTCAAATTCTGTGGATGAAACAGAATAATCGGATTTATCATAGAAAAAAGTTATTGAATACTCACAATATCGAACATTATATTCATTAATTTAGTAAATTTGCTAACTTGCTGTTTCTTACTTTCCTGCATTTCTACTATATCTCCCAGATCCTCACAAAAATTTCATCCTTTTGTAATGCCATCTTCAAAATCTCCTTCTTTTCTTCCTTATTTCCTCGATCTCTTCAAAATGAAATCAATCATTTCATTGCATTTTCTTTTTTCTGGTTGAGCTTTGTTCATGATTGACTCCTCTGTATCCTCCGTAGCTGCCTTTTCATCGATTGCCGAGCAATTTCTCCATCCACCTTTTCTCTAAAAGCATCCTTGTAATTTCCTCCTAATGTTAAATAAAAAAAAAATCAATATAATTATATACACACACAACACCTTAGTGTGAAGTTACATAAATATTTACCAATACAGGCAAGGCGCTCCAGCAACCTTTTTCGTTCATAGAAATTCCATGCACCATTTTATGTCATACTTTTTCTTTATAGTTCTTTAATATATTAATTGGGTTTACTTTGTACTCACCGTGGACCGATTTTTATAAAAAAATTCCAACATTTTTAATTATAAAATTTAATATACTTAGAAGGTCAGAGTTTCAGGAATCAGGGCTTAGAGGGGATTCTGTCTCTTTGTGAAAGCTTCCACAACCTTTGCAGGAATGATATTTTCATTTTTGATAAGGAACTTATATAGCTCCCTTTTGATGACGGTATAGAATCTTTCGACAATTGCTCCCTAGCATTCTCTTAAGAGTGAGAACATTTCGTTTATTAGTGGTGGTAATAACGAACAAGTGTTTTTCTTGATTTCCATTTTATTTATCCTTGTTTTTTTGAATCTTGCAGTGTTAAGATGCCACTTCTTTTAACCAACCAGAAATTTTTACATGAGCTGGGGACTTTTTACAGAATTCTTCATCATTTTTTACAATATCTTTTAGTGATTTGTATATTGACTCTTTAGATACCCTCAGCGGACAGTTAATATATAATTTGTTAATTGTTGATTTGAGAGTATTATCTCAACAGTACCAGATTTTTGCAACCACAAACAAATTTTCGTTGAAAAATAATCAAAGATTGTTTACAAAACATGAAAAAATGTGGTATTAAATGATGCAATTTTATCATTATATTTATATTCATCAATAAATAATTAGACAAATACAAAATACATCATTGGCACAAGGAAAATTTGCACTCCAAAGGTATAAATGGATGAAATAACTTGATCTGCGCATAATTTATAATATAGTGATTAATTATGGCGCGCCGATGTGGACAGATTGGTATTTTATTAATACCAACTCCTGCTATTTAAAATAATACTAGCACTTGTATTTTAAAATTACTGAATTTGCCTAAAATGGCAATTCCTTTTTATATTATTAGACAGATTTGTATTTGTTTAATACCAAATTTCTCTAATTAAATATTACCAACTCTTGTAATTTTAAAATTAGTAGATCTTTTTTCTTTAATAGACAGATTCATATTTTTTTATTGCCTCCTTTTTTCATTAGAAGATCTTTTTTCTTTAATAGACAGATTTGTATTTTTTATTATTAGCTCTGACGATCATTTTTATTCGCTAAATCTCACCGCAGGTGATCCTTACCGCAGGTGATTTTATTCCGGCCAAATTATAATTCCAGCTGGAGTTAATTGTGTAACCTAATAAAAAGTTTTGACTTTTTTAGTAACAATGTGGTATAAAAATTGCACCAATGAGTTCGGAAGATGCCCGTTTCTAATCAAATATGCAGTTAAATTTTGTGTAGCCTCACTGAATAAATCACTTTACTTAAAAAATCTATTTCGTAATGGTCAAAAGTGGTCTATTTGACCTTAAAAGTGGTCAAACTTGACCTTATTGATGGTTAAAAGTGGTCAAATGACCATCAGTTGCCTTAATTGATGGTCAAAAGTAGTCTATTTGGTGGTCAAATGTAACCATCAGCTACCTTAATTGATGGTTAAAAGTGGTCAAACGTGGCCATCAGCTGCCTTAATTGATGGTCAAAAGTGGTCAAATATGCCCTCGCCTTTAACTACCAATTATTAGTATAACCAAACAGAAATTTTCGAAAAATTTCTATGTGCTATATGACCACTTTTTAGGGTCAAATAGACCACTTTTGACCATCAATTAAGGTAGCTGATGGTCACGTTTGCCACTTTTAAGGTCAAATAGACCACTTTTGACCATTACGAAATAGATTTCTTAAGTAAAGTGATTTATTCAGTGAGGATACACAAAATTTAACTGCATATTTACTTATAAACGGGTATCTTCCGGATCTATTAGTGCAATATTTATACCACATTGTAACTAAAAAAAATCAAAAACTTTTTTATTAGGTTACACAATTGAATTTGGCTGGAATTATAATTTGACCGGTGAAATCACCTGCGGTGAGATTTAGCAGATCTGCTAATGAATAAAAATGATCGTCAGAGCTAATAATAAAAAATATAAATCTGTCTGGTAAAGAAAAAAGATCTGCTAATAAAAAAAGGGGATAATAAAAAATATAAATCTGTCTATTGAAGAAAAAAGATCTGCCAATTTTAAAATTACAAGGTTGGTAATATTTAATTAGAGAAAGTTCGTAATAAATAAATATGAATCTGTCTAATAATGCAAAAAGAAATTGCCAAATCTGCCACTTGCAGTAATATTAAAATACATGAGCTGGTATTATTTAAATAGTGGAAGTTGGTATTAAAAAAATACCAATCTGTCCACGTCGGCGCGCCATAATTAATTAATCAATTAAATATTACTAGTGTTAAATTTCCTAATATGTTGATATAATGATTAAACCAGTTAGTACGTGACATAGATTACAAATCAAATGGTTTTGACTTTTGACCCTGTTGGGATTTAAATTATTTATGCCCGTTCTGTTTTGCTAAAAATAAATTTGGACTGAACAAGGCCATTGTATAAAACTGTATTGTAATATTTTACTTTGCCAAGGATAGATTTATAATAATATAAATAAAAAATCGGGTTTAATATTAAATAAGAATATCGAACCTTCTTAAAATAACCGCAGTATACTCTTTATCACAACTGGATAAATATTTTCCTGTACTAACATGTCTTAAAGCTATGATGGAATAATCCGAAACAATTTTTTTAAATGTTCTAATTAATTCATCCGTGTAATATAGAATAGAATATATATTTATATTATTGGATATTAAAGATATTAAGGAGCTAGGCGTTGTGATTTAAATTATATTCCTTTATATTATTCTTGTGAAAAGTGTACTGGTTACGCATAATAAGTAGTAGTGCGCGATATAGAATATAAATTACGTGGATAAGTGAGATTACATAATCATAAAAAAAATTTTTTTCACTAGTTTGTGAAAAGAATGTATAGTACCCAACAATCCCGACATTCAAAATTTTCAAGTGTCCACCATATTTCGAATTTTGCTGTAACAAAAAAGAAAGAAATCGTTCATGGGGATCTCATAAGTAGATTATTTTGATTTATTTTACAATATTGCGTAATTAATACATTCTTTTTTTCTATACCTTAATACATAAAGATGCAATAAAATTGTCAGATTTCAAGCGTTCATTTGAAATAGGAAAGGGCCACAACAATAATGGAGAACATGGTATAATACCTTATGTGGACCAGATATGAAATACTTTCAGACAATGATTCCTTTGAAGTTTTCGTATTCCAAACTAATTGTGACCCATTTAAATAGAATGTTGGGAGCACGAATCAGATAACTTCTTTCCCAATTTTATAGTGCGTGATATAATAATAGATTTAATACTCAAAGCGGCATTTTTAATTGCGGTTACAAGTTGCAGTTTCAGTCGAAGCGGCTGCTGCTTTGGTCATAGAAAGTCACTAATTGACCAAATCTCAAGCAATATAGTGCAAGAGACTTATCCAGCTTTACTTTTGATTTTTGATTGTAGGCAGTTAATGGATCCATTTAATAGAGTTCTAATCCGAGGATCGATGGATGGACACATTTTGACAATTATACATAGATTTAATTAATTTAAGTCAAGATTTTTTTTGAGATATCTTCGGATTCTACTCCAATATAGTAATATTAAAATCCGGTTCAATTATAAAATGGAGAAGAAATTCAACTCGGATCGAAAATCCATCCGATCGGATGAAAAATTCAATCCGAAACGAATTTCTCTTTTTTTTTTATTATTAACAACACTCTTAAATTTACTATATTGTGTATTGAGATATGATCTTAGTGTATCTGAAAAAATCCTTTACCTTTATTGATTAAATCCACATGCAAATTGCCAAAATATTCCCATCCGTCGTGGTGATGTCACCATTTTGAAACGCTAGGTATAGTAAAAGAGGTACAAACACGTGACTATCATTACTATTTATAGTTAACCATTAAATACAAATTGTAGACCAAATTAAGCTTGTGCTCCTATTTTGATTCAAATATTTAAATTATTTTTTTAAAGAAAAATTCATAATAAATCTGCAACGCTCTTTATAGTTACTAACTTTTTGAGCAATGATATTCTAATTTTTTTTTGTTTGTCTGTTTTTTTTACTTGCATCAAGTATTATGCATATTATGAGCGAAGAAAATGCAGTCACGCGACTGCAAAAATATTATTCATTATTTTTTATATATTTGCCACTTTTTGATCATAGTTTATTAAAAAAAAAAAAAACTCAATGAGTACTTCTCAAGAAAACAATATTTTACCGTCATCTCCATTGCCTTACGAGAACTTGTCTCCCATGGCTTCTGCAACTAGCTCACGTAATAATAATATACAGCAGCCAATAGCTCCAAGTCTAGCTTTCTTTTACAATCCACCAAGTTTTCTCATAAGTTACCACATTACTTGCGAAGAAATACCAGTGTCCTTTGAACTGGTATATCAATTAACAAATGATGCCGATGACCGAGCTTATAATTATGTTCTACCTGATAGCTATGTATTTTATCACAGTCAATTTAATACGAAAAAAATTTATCGAGTAACTTGTGAATTAGCTTCGTCCCAATTTTTAAATAAAAGATTTTATAATATGGAATATAACCAGCAGAGTAATCAACAACATCAACAACAACAAGAAATTTCTCTAACACACTTTAAATTTCACTTGAAGCAATTTTTAACTAATTACTTGGCGCATGGAAATATGGTGCATGATAATTTTAGTGATGAAACCATGGATGGTCCACCTTCTTTTCGAAATACTACTAATGGCGATTATACTCAAGATTATGAGAATAATCCTTCGTTATTCAACCCAAACATCGATAATATTCAACAAGACGTTTAAGATTTTTTTATTAGGAATTTATTATTATTATTATTATTATTATTATTATTTATAAGAAAAATCTTTCGATTTATAGTGAGTCTAAAGATATTGCTTACTAAAAGATTTCTCAATGGATTTATTAGACGAAAGAATCATATCAACTTTCATTATGCAATAATTATAGCTATAAAATAAAATTTAATTAGTGCCGTTTTCTCTCTTTTTTTAATCTAAGTTTATCTCAAAGCAAGTTAGAAATAAAATTATGGTATATTGTAAATAAGAATAAAATTCATAGTAATTTTTTTTCGATTTAAATTACATGAATTTTTATCATTTATATTATAATAAAATGTATGATCAGAAGAAAGTGAATCAATATTTTCACAAGTAATATGGTAAATTTGATAATCGTTTGGTGGATTGTAAAAGAAAGTCATTCTAAAGTTATTATCTGAATAATTGTTGGTCAGTTGAGTTAGTTGAGTACAACCTCGCACGTAAACAGTCATTTTATAAAGATAAAGGTCATAAGATTAAATTTACTGCTGGAGAAATTTTTTTTTTTTTTTTAACCAAAAAGAAAATTATTAGTAGACATATTTATACTAAAATGATGTATTATTTAGCTGATCAATATATATACAAATTGTGAAACATCTTAAAATAGACTTTTTATAATGGCCAATGTGTAATCCCCTGATCGGCACCATTTACACGATTATAAATTTTATATGTATTTATTTATCCATTCCTAAGGAGATTTTGTAGTATTGATTATACTATAATAGACGGATTTGAAAATTTGAGTAATTCAGAAAGATTTGCATTTCCAAATGAGAAAACTTTCTTTTAATTTATTCGTAATCTCAATTCTCAATATTATTTTTTAAGTAATAGTAATAGTTCCGAAGCTTTTAAAATTTAATCATTTTTTAAAATCTTTTAAATGAAAAAAAAAAACCAAGTGAAAGAAAATAGGATTCAACAATAAAATACACTATATTTGTACTCATGATATACTATAAAACACTATTGTGTAAATGGCAGGGGATAAATCCTGGCTAATTGGAATAGTAAAATGATCGGCCTATCGGCCGATCATTTATCCGATTCTAGTAAAATTTTACTTATGCTGGATATAAATAATTACCTAGCGGTGCGGATTGCGCCCAGATTAGAAATATTACAAAACTTTCACAGTAAGCTTGTCTTGTCAGACAACCTATATATAAGGTATGAGAGTGCTTATGCTGAAACAATCTAAAAATTAAAAAAATAAATAAATAAAAACACAACTAGCTATATGCTGTACTTCTGTAACTGAAAATGTTTTGAAGGACAAAATCACCAATATAAATATCATTCTTTTACCCCTTAAAAAAATACATACAGGACATACAACGTTTTATTATGTAACAAAAATTTTACGATTGTTTATTTGAACGAGATTGAATTTATTATCCTTCTTTCTAATACAGATAACGATTTAATATAAATCTATAGAGTACCATATGTTAAATACTTATCGTCAATTTATTTTTAGGCTACTAATGCCAAGTTATTACATACGTAAATAAATTATCGATACAATTATAATTAGTGCACCGCAGCCTTTAAATTATGCTATAATTTTAAAATTAACGTTCTAGTTTACATTATGAAATTTATTTTGATATTTCATTGCACTTTGTTTTTTAAAACTTTTAAATCAGGAGAGGAAAAAGTACAAATTTGAGACGAGCTAAAATAGTTGCAAAGAGATGACCGATCTTTGTTTTGAAATATTGTATGATGATTTGAAAGAACCATTAATGGAAAAATTTTATTTCATTATAAAAAATTTATTTAAAAACTAACAATAACGAATAATACGTTGATATTATAAATAAATAATTAATTATACTCTAGTTAAATATGAGTTTTTAACCTCAATATATCATCGTAAGCCACAATGAATTATTATTTTTTGAATAATATAAATAGTAGGTTAACAAAGGTAAATGAAAAAACGATTTGAAATATGACGTTTATTCGTGTAATTTTAGTTAAAATTTCTACGTATCCATTGAACGTATAGTTAGCTTATTTCGCTGTAAAACAGTTCCTTTTGTACCAATTTTTTTTTCCAACGAAGATTTTATTTACTATTTATTTATTTTTTAAGTCTTAATTCAGTAAAATTTACTCGAGTAGAATAAAATTACAATCTTTGAAGTCAATTTATTGAATCTGTAATTTGTCATTAGTTGTTCCTGAGCGTCAAATAAACGAACCAATTATATTGGCGAAATTCCACGATAACAATGGCGGGTAATAAATTTAAAAATTATAAATAATTTGCAGAGTCTGATGCGAGCATGAAAATAAATAGTTTTATTTATTTGACTTAGTATAAATTCAATGATAACGGATATGTTAGAAATTAGATTATTAAACGAAAAATTTAACTGATATGTTTTCTAGTATATTTTTTTTTATCTCTAAAAATTTTTCATTCTCTTAATACAAGCAAACATAATGATTTCACATTGCGCTGCAAAAACTATTGATATTCGTGAATAATATGATAGCCATTTACGTCTAAACACCATCCATGAAAATATCAAATTCTTATAGTAAGCTTCTAATAATGGAAATTCAGGTAATACACAATTTAGAGCTTTCCTTAACGGGTAATGTAACTAGAATACTCTAGGATTTATCCGATTAGCCTATATATCCAGATTTTTATTGTATATGCCGTATCAATAATAATTCAATCATGTGACCATACTGGAGGTGATATCACCTGCGGTTATAATTAGCAATTTTCTATATATATAGTATATAAATATTTATTAAAATATTTCTTATAATCCTTTTCACTTTATAAAATTTATTGTCATTTTTTTTATTAAAATAAGCGAATAAATTATTTATTATTTTTTAATAAAAAAATAATTTTTACAATGTATTAAATGGAAGAAATTGAGTAATTGAATAGAAATATTATTTTCTATCAATGTATCAACTATTTTTAGATTAGTAGTACAAAGTCACGTTACCGAAAATTTTGTAGATATTAAGTTTAACCCAAACTTCTCAGGTATTAGGTGCGTCAATTTTATAAGTATTTCACATAGTCAAATGAGGTGCGTCAAATCGGTGAAATAAATATGAGATAACGCAAATCCGTTATCCATACAAACATTTTCTCTCAAACATTTTTTTTGTTTTTTTTTTTTCAAAAAAAAGTAATACTCAATGAGTACTTCTCAAGAAAACAATATTCAACCGCCTTACGAGAACTTGTCTTCTATGACTTCTGCAACTAGTCAATGTAATAATAATATTCAGCCAATAATTCCAACTTTCTTTTACAATCCGCCAGGTTTTCTCGTAAATTATCATATTACTTGTGAAGAAGTACCAGTGTCCTTTGAACTTGTATATCAATTAACAAATGATACCGATGACAACGACCAAACTTATAATTTATATGTTCAGCCTAAAAGTTTTGCATTTTATCACAGTCAAATTAATACGAAAAAAATTTATCGAGTAATTTGTGAATTAGCTTCATCCCAATTTTTAAATAAAAGATTTTATAATATTGACTACAACCAGCAGAGTAATCAACATCAACAACAAGAAATTCCTCCACTACACTTTAAATTCCACTTGAAGCAATTTTTAACTAATTACTTGGCACCTAAAGAAATTTATGAACAGAATTTGCATGAAAATATGATACAAGACAATATGGATGGTTCTCCTTCTTTTCGAAATGCTAGTGGCGATTATACTCAAAATTATCAATGAAGATTTCGAGAATAGTCCGGCATTATTCAACCTCAACAACGATAATATACAACAAGGTATCTAAGGTTTTCCATTAGGAATTTAGTATTATTTTTTTTTTTAGAAAATGTATTAGTTAACTAGTTTAGTATTTTTGTGTATGAATATAAATTATTTATAATATACGATATATATTGTTTATGAAGTTTATAATATTGAATAAATATTAAATTTTTGACCTAAATATGAAAGCGAATGGAATTTCTTGTTTTCAACATCATGAATTATTTTATTCAAAAATTGAACGAGTAATGAATGTGAAATGAAAATACTAGTTATCTGATAAGTTACAGTTATTCTATCAATAAAAGTATATAAATGGAATTTTTTTTTTATTGCCATGAATTCTTCAAAAATGATTTTCAAAATTTACCACATCAACTTATAGATTCTTATTGAACCAACTAATGTGATAATTTAATGAAGTTATAATGTTAACCAAATTCGTATAATTTTCTGCGCGAAGATGTACGGTGACACGAGTATTTCAGCCCTCGGTATTAGAATACTCCAGAGTTGATTATGCTGTATGGTTACACATAATTATGTAATGTATTGGCATCATGGCGGATTTATGAAATACCCCAAAATTTGTCCGTCATGTCAAACTAAATAAATATTTGACAGTATTTTACTATTTAAGTCCCAAATTTATTAATAGTGAATAGTCAAAAATGAGCTCTAAAAAAATTTTTTTGTACCCCAAATCTTGCGTCTAACAAATTTTTCCAGTGTTAAAGGCGCGTCATTATTTGACATTTTTTTTAAGGATAAATCCGCCGCAATGGAAATTATGCTCAGTTTTTGTATTTATTGTATGCATTATTGTATATTTTAATATATACATTTTTTAGTATATAATTTACATCAAAAAAATTAATTTACATATTTTGAAGGAGGCAATTTTTTGTAAACTTATAGAAAATTCCTGCATACAGCTATTAATAATAAATTTTGAAAGTCACCTTACCTCTTTATATATATTTCGGAGTCCTGTTCAATTCTTGAATAAAAAAATTTATGATATCAAACTTAGAAAGTACGTAAGAAGATGAAAAACAACAAGAAGAATAGTTGACTTTTTCTAATGATCACGGAATTTCAAGGAATATTTGAATTATTGTATTACTAGGCGATTATCATATCCAGCTGTGTGATCAGAAGGGTTAATATTATAAGTAAGTTCCGCTAGTACTATGAGTACTACTTCCATGCCGGATTTGGCAAATAATGTATACCTTTTATATTGACCTATCTAAATTGTTCCACAATTTTCAATATTACGTTACTATTCTTATTTAATAGAGCTAGTAAATAAGTATTATTTATTTACTGATCTAGTTTAGTACATAAATGGGTCATCGTAATCAGTTTAATAATTTATTATTTCTTCTTTTGCCCAATAACTTACTTTCTTATTGAACTTAACAAATATAACTTGATCCAATCGTTCACAATCAATATCTCGAATTTTCCAACTACACTTGAATACTACACATCCCAACTCACTGCGCCATTTTTTTCTTGATGGGTTCGTGCGTTATATTATGATCGATAGGAAACGTACATGCTTTAATTAATGCGTTATAATTTAATTGATAATTTTCAATAAGCAACCGCATTGCTTGATGTTCACCACTGTATATTGATATTCTTGGCATTTACAATTATCGTATTTGTGACGAAATTTACTTTTGTTACATTACTTTAAAAAAGAGGTTGCAAAGATCGTAATGTGAACAGTAAATAACAAAGCGTATAATCTTTAATAACTCCAATTTCGTCAAATGAAGTTGCTTCGTATGATCGAGAATTTAATATATAAGACTCGTCCCAATTATGAAAAAGCGAATTATATTATATAAAATTAGCTTATCTTTTAAAAAAATTACTTATTTTCACAAGATATAGATTTTAATTTCTTCGTTAAACTTAATTACCTCAGGCCGAAATTAGTATTCGTCACATTTTTGTGCCGTTACTTAACCATTATTTTTTTTCCAAAAAAAATTTTTTTTACGAGTTAACAAATAATGATCGGATTTTTTTGCAACATATTTACGGATACCATTACACTATAATAAGATGTGCGATTGCGGCTGTCTTCGCCTGATTTCTGGATTTAGCCGATTTTAAAATCAACTGATATCTTTTATAAATATAAAAGCACATTATAACAATTGAGGATTATTTATTTGTTTATCTCTTAGGTGGACATTTCTTTTTTTGATGACTATCATTGTTATGGAGTACCATACAAGCCAACCAAAAGCATGTTGTTTTTACATACTTTCGAGTATGATACGCCATGCACAGTATAATTTGTAATTAAGACTTAAGAGAAATATATGGTAACAAAATTATTTTCCTAAAACTAATAAAAACGTTGGTGTTTTGAATTTGAATGTAATTCTGCCGATTATGTATCAAGATTCGAGACATAACGGATAAAAATTTTCTTTATTGTATATTGATCAGACTCTAAGAAAGCTATTGTAATTCGTAAAATACGAGTATATAGTAAATTAGTACTGTACGGTAATACAAATTAGTACGGACGTTAAAAAAAAAATTGTACTCAGACGGACCTTTAAAAATAAATTTTGATTTTTTCGTACTAATATTTTATATTGTAACATTATGTTGCACACAATATTTGAGTAATATAATAATTGTGTTTAATTATAAATAAACCAATAAAATTTAGTTATTATTTTAATGGTCAGTTTTATTATTATGGAGCTGAATATATTAAAGGAATGAAAATTTATTAGCTTATCTTCAAAGAATTTTATAATTTTATAATTTAACATTTAATTTTATAATTAGTAAGTTATTTAAACAATATTCAAAGTTGCACAAAATACAAAAATGCAAAGTCGTACGATTGTACAAAACAAATTAGTACGAAAATTTTAAAACTTTCGTACGTACTAGTATAAAAAGATTGATTAGCTGTGAATGATCGTACGAACAAAAAAAACACACGTAAGTACTAATTTGCGTTACCGCATGGTCCTATTTTACTCAATACCTGTAAAATACTATACTAAAATACTACAAAAGTCACGTCCGTCTGTCCGTCCGGCACGTGACGATGTACCATAACACTTCAGACTAATTTTTCATTTCGGTCATACGAATAAAAAGTTACGCGAAAAAAATTGCAAATAATAATTCCTTATGACATATAACACATGATCTTGATGTGGATTTTGTCATGAGTAATTGAGCGGCGAAATGTCCCGATACCACGATAACTTTGTAAATACAAAATAATATAAATAAATTATTAATCTACACGGCTCCACATATCACGTGACATTGCAATAAAAATTTTTATATAAACAAAATTCCAACAAATATAACTTTTGAAAAAAATATATACAATAAGTGTAATTTTGTTTTGTTCTGCAGGACAACTTAAAACGTCAAAGTTGGTTGAATGTCTTATTTAACAAATCTTTTTAACTCCGGTAAACATTAAGTGATCTGTATAAGAATTTACCTTTTTTGGACACAAACAGAAATTATCAAAAATATAAAGAATTATGGTAGAAATATAATTTTCATGAGATCTGAAATGATGTATAAGCATATTCGCAATATATATTCACTCTTTTAATTTTTAATAAGTTTTGCATTTGTATAACGAACGTCTAAATTAAAACTGTCTGATTTTTAAATCTGTTTCTATATTTCGCCATAGAACTTAGGACATGGTAATTTTCGTGACAGTTTTTTGTAAGGAAGAGAATATTGTAACATTTATTTGAAGATTATTCATTCAAAAAAGTTCTTATCAATAAAGTCGATCATGATACTCTTCATAAGAAAGATATAGATAAATGAAAAAAACTACTTTTAAGATCATCCCTAAGCAGAAACGTATGAAACAAATTATAAAAGATTTCTTAAAAAACGATTTGTATTTATATTTTCAAACTTGCAATGTTAAACTATTTTCTATTATTGAAACAAATCAAGTTGATTGATTATAATAACTAGTTACATTAATATGTATTACAAAGAGATAAAGAGCCTTTTTTAACGCAAAGGATAATGGAAAAACTGTGAACAAAATATAAATTAGATGTAATCATAATTCTAAACCACAATTCAACCAGAAAAACTTTGACCCGCAAGCTTTACAATCTTTTTTTTTTTTTTAAAGAACACGTAGAATCACTTTATTGGAAAATTCTTATATAAAATACAACTACCAAACGTACTACCTAAGATCAACTAGATGTGCTCCATGAAATCTGATATACAGTACAATCTAAACTTCCTATTAAATCTATTAAATAACATTAATTATTATATTTTATAAATTTTAAAGCTGAAAGAAATTATTTAAACATAAAATAAGATGCTTCATATTTGTTATATTACCGTAAAACGCTTTGCATAGTACTTAAGTACTAATACTAGGAGATTATATTAGAAATTATATGATTAATAAGTATAACACCCGGAATATTATATATTCTAACAGGGGAGGGATACTATACATAGCAGTGTACTATACAGATGCTTTATGATATTATCATATTATTATAGTCTATTTCAGTATCCATTATTGTACAAGTACATATTATTCGTTAACGATGTCAATATAATCAAACAATCTCACAATATTCTAACATTCTTTAAATAAGTTGAATTATTTACCAACAATTACGCTTATTATTTTATGAAGAAATAATATTCAATAATCTTGGCACTTGGCCAAATTAATTTTTATTCATTTTTTTTCACATTTTAAGTTTTTAAAGAAGAATCAAAAATAGATGTCTATGAAAGATAATATTGATGCATTAATTAGCCGTCACAGGCGTCACACCCTATTGAAAACCCGTATTGTATAATTATAATAATTATAACAATCTGTAACTCCTATCCGCCCATAATTTGCATGCAGACGCCCAATATAATAATAATAATAAACAGCCACTCAGATTGATGCATGTATAAAAAAAGTAAACAAAGAAACTACATTTCCAAAAACAGTATAAAATCTGATGATCTTTTTACTGGGGATAAATTTTATTTATTGATGCACCGAACTGCGTAGAAC